CCCGCACCCTGACATAGAGGCGTAAAGAGAGTGTTATTTTAGTACGTTGAATCAGCGGGCTACTTCATGAATTAAAGAGATTTCTTGATTTTTAAAAGCCTAGATAGCTAGTAAGATCCTACCCTCTTACTCTATTAAATTTTAAGAGCTTCGAGAGCATATTAGTGGTATGGTGGATGGTTAAAGAAGTAGGGTTTAAATTAATTGACGCGTTTTAGTGGAGGTGTCTAGCTCGGGTGTTTATCTAGCTCGGTAGTGAAATACGTTATATTAGGCCCTCACATCCGTTAGGGACCACTGGAGTAACCGGGAAGTCACATGACTTCTAACACTTTGAAAATTTCGGAGAATAGGATTTCAAGAGCAGAAAGCGGCGGCGCCCCAGTGAGGAAATTCGCATCTACGTAGATATTCAAATTATAAAGTAGATTGGCATGTAATGTACAAGCCACGGACTACGATCTTCACCACATGCCATGGCAAAGTCGGGATCCGAGAGCCCGGAAAGGCAGTTCGCCACGTTAGAGGAATAAGCTCTACTTCAAACTCCTGGGAGAAGCATAGAACATAAATGCGGAAATCATTCCGCACATGAATTGACACCGGCACATCACTGCCATCTCCCGAGCGGCCTTGCCGCTCCTATCTCTTACCCGAGCTCCGCCTTTAATTCCAAGCTTCCGGGGAATGTCTTTGTAGACACATTTGGGAAGAACTACCAGGTACTCCTCACGATATATGTAGATTGAGGCCGATATTGCTTCCGATTGCCCTAGGCCATTCCCCCACAATCTTCAGAATTTATATATTAAATGAAGGGCTTGGGTGATCTGGATGTCTTTCTTGTTTTCTATAATTCTTAAAAATTTTTACCAATCATTTCTATTTCCTCAAGGCTTTCCCACCGGACTTTGTGTGAACTTCAGTCAACGTAAGCAGACAGCGGTGAGATTTGCCCGTGAAGATCCACAGAAAGCCCGGAAACCCAGCACGGGTGGATCAGACCACCTGTTGGCTTCTCTCTCCTTCTTTCAATCCTGTACAACACCTACTCCATTTAGCGCTCTTTTTTTGGGGGGGGGGCCCATACTTGCAAAAGATCTACTCTTTATTGATCCCTTTTGTGTTTCTTCTCCTGGCCTTGGAATCCATTTAACCAAATCTCCCCTCACGGCGGGAATTCGCGCCACAACAAACTTCCCCTCGTTCCCCGCGGGACACGCACCGCACAACATGATGGCCCAAATGGATACACTCGATTATGTCGTCTTGGTGGCCCTCTTGGTGGGTAGCGTTGCCTACTTCACCAAGGGTAGCTACTGGGCCGTCCAAAAAGATCCATACGCCTCCTCGGCCGCCACCCTGAATGGAGCCGCCAAGAGCGGCAAAACCCGCGACATCGTGGAGAAGATGGAGGAGACAAGCAAGAACTGTGTCATCTTCTATGGCTCCCAGACTGGTACTGCAGAGGATTACGCATCTCGACTCGCCAAGGAAGGCTCCCAGCGCTTCGGACTGAAGACTATGGTCGCCGACATGGAGGACTATGACTACGAGAACCTGGACAAATTCCCTGATGACAAGATCGCATTCTTCGTGCTGGCTACATATGGCGAGGGCGAGCCTACCGACAACGCCGTGGATTTCTACCAATTTTTCACCGGCGAGGACGTCGCTTTTGAGAGTGGCGCCTCCGCCGAAGACAAGCCTCTGTCCTCGTTGAAGTATGTCGCATTCGGCCTGGGCAACAACACTTATGAACACTACAATGCCATGGTCCGTCAGGTTGATACCGCTCTGACAAAACTTGGTGCGCAGCGCATTGGAACTGCTGGCGAGGGCGACGATGGCGCTGGAACCATGGAAGAGGATTTCCTGGCCTGGAAGGAGCCGATGTGGGCTGCTCTGTCAGACGCCATGAATCTCCAGGAACGTGAAGCTGTCTACGAAGCCGTCTTTTCCGTTGTCGAGGATGATGAGAGATCCCCGGAGGACGAGTCCGTCTACTTGGGAGAGCCCACTGCCTCCCACCGGGATGGTCGCGCTAAGGGTCCCTATTCCGCGCACAACCCCTACATTGCCCCGATTATCGAATCCTCGGAACTGTTCACTGTCAAGGACCGTAACTGTCTGCACATGGAAATTAGCATTGCCGGTAGCAACCTCAGCTACCAAACTGGTGATCACATCGCTATCTGGCCCACGAACGCGGGTGTCGAGGTTGATCGTTTCCTCGAGGTCTTTGGTATTGCGGAGAAGCGCCACTCGGTGATCAACGTCAAGGGTATTGATGTCACGGCCAAGGTCCCTATTCCCACCCCAACCACCTATGATGCCGCTGTCCGCTACTACATGGAAGTGTGCGCCCCCGTCTCCCGTCAGTTTGTCTCAACCCTCGCTGCTTTTGCTCCTGATGAGGAGAGCAAAGCCGAGATTGTCCGCTTGGGTAACGATAAGGACTACTTCCACGAGAAGATCACCAACCAGCGCTTCACCATTGCTCAGGCGCTCCAGAGTATCACGTCTAAGCCGTTCTCTGCCGTACCTTTCTCGCTGCTCATTGAAGGTCTCAACAAGCTCCAACCCCGGTACTACTCTATCTCTTCCTCATCCTTGGCCCAAAAGGATAAGATCAGCATCACCGCTGTCGTCGAGTCTGTTCGTCTGCCAGGTGCCTCGCACATTGTTAAAGGTGTCACCACCAACTACCTTTTGGCTCTTAAGCAGGAGCAGAACGGTGACCTGTCCCCCGATCCTCACGGCCTGACCTACTCGATCACCGGTCCTCGCAACAAGTACGATGGTATCCACGTGCCTGTCCATGTTCGTCACTCTAACTTCAAGTTGCCTTCCGACCCGTCAAAGCCTATCATCATGGTTGGTCCTGGTACTGGTGTCGCGCCTTTCCGTGGTTTCATCCAGGAACGTGCTGCTCTTGCTGCCAAGGGAGAGAAGATTGGTAAAATGGTTTTGTTCTTTGGATGCCGCAAGAGCGACGAGGACTTCATCTACAAGGATGAATTCAAGGTATGATATTAGCCCCCTACACTTGAAGTCTGAACCTCCACCCTGACATTATTCCTTCAGAAATTCCAAGATCAAATGGGTGACTCCCTGAAGATTATCACAGCCTTCTCCCGCGAAGGACCCGAGAAGGTTTACGTCCAGCACCGCATGAAGGAGAATGCCGAGCTCATCAGCGAGCTGCTAAAGCAAAAGGCCAACTTCTATGTCTGTGGTGATGCTGCCAACATGGCCCGTGAGGTCAACTTGGCCCTTGGCCACATCATTGCCCAGCAGCGGGATTTGCCCGCTGAGAAGGGCGATGAGATGGTCAAGCACATGCGTAGCAGCGGCAGCTACCAGGAGGACGTCTGGTCATGATTCCATGATTGATGAACACTTCTATGTACCTGCAACCACATTTAGATGATTGTGCCTATATCTTATCAATTATTTCGATACGATACGGCTTTTGCTTTATTTGCGCCGCATGTTTCCCTAGCATTGGCCTCCTGTTGAGGAGCCTGAGTTTGCTAGCTATGGACGGCCGTTTTGACGGGGATGATATTAGACTTGTAAATCACGTAGGTCACTATTTTTTCCCTTCGTTTTTCAAAATCGTAAGACTTGAGTTAATGTACGTGAGTATTTATTCAAATGGAAGTACGAACACTTGTGTGGATGCTTTCGGTTGTAAGCGCGGAATTTAGACGTCATTTGCACGGGAACCTCGACTTCTCTCATATTCCCCCCACACCGACTGAGCAATCCTTGCCTCAAGTGAGATGATTTAAAGAAATGTACAATCCATAAAACATCACCACTTGCCTTCCTCATATCAGTCCACTGTCCTTCTTACTCTCGGATATTACCCATCCTCGCAGGGTGGTGCGACGAACCTCAAGCCTAGCTAGCTCCGCGCTGTCAGATACCGCGGGTAGCTGAACTACGATGGCCTATGTCGTTCCCATCCATCGGGCAAGCAGCATTCGCCATGCAGTGAAGCTTAACTTTTTTTCCCCGGACGAAGAGTGCCTTGTTGCAGCGTGAGTCCCATCCTCTCGCGAAGTTGCGAACCCAAGCCGACTTACCACCCGATGACGACGAGCACGATAGCTAACTATCCCACGAACCAACAGAAAAGCTAGCCGTCTCGAGTTCTACACGCTCACTCCGGATGGAATCGTTCTGACCGTGACTCGTGCTCTGAATGCGCGGGTCACGATGCTCGCGCGCCTACCCGCACCCACAAATTCACCAACCGACCACATCTTCGTCGGCACAGACCAATACAACTATTTTACGATTACATGGGATCGGGAAACAAATGATATCAAAACTGCGCGTACCTGCGTTGACATCGCCGAGCCCTCGTCTCGGGAGTCCCAATGCGCACCACGATGTCTGATCGATCCCACGGGACGGTTCATGACGCTGGAAGTATACGAGGGCGTGATAGTCGTCGTGCCGATCGTACAGCCGACGAAGAAAAGGGGCCGGATGTCCATGGCAGGGTCCCAGCCTGACTTCCCGCTGCAGGTGGGAGAGCTTGACAAGCCGACTACGTCCCGCATTGATGAGCTTTTCGTTCGATCCTCCGCATTTTTGCATTCGGAATCTAGTCCTTGGTTGGCATTACTCTACGAAGATAACCAACAGAAGGTACGGCTTCGAATCCGCGAGCTGGATTTCACACCGGGCAGTTCGGGGACTTTGGCAGATGCTACTTTCAAGGAGGTGCAGAAGTTGGAAGGGGGTGAATTCGGACAGGAGCTTGATCTTGGATCGTCGCATCTTATTCCTATCCCGGCTCCGTTGGGAGGTCTTATTGTTCTTGGGGAGACATCGATTAAGTACATCGACGATAATGCCAATGACGTGATCACGCGGCATCTTGAAGAGGCGACAGTCTTCGTGGCTTGGGAGAAGGTCGATAGTCAGCGGTGGCTGTTGGCTGATGACTATGGTAGGCTATTCTTCCTGTCTTTTATCCTGAACAACTTGGGCGAAATCGATGACTGGAAGCTTGAGTCTCTGGGTAAGACGGCTCGTGCATCGGTGTTGGTATATCTTGGTGGAGGCATGTTGTTTGTTGGCTCGCATCACGGCGACTCCCAGGTCCTCCGGCTCGATGGTACCTCGTTCGAGGTAATCCAGACATTGTCTAACATTGCACCCATTCTCGACTTCACTATAATGGATCTTGGGAACCGTACAAATGAGAGCCAAACGCATGAGTTTTCGTCCGGGCAGGCTCGAATCGTTACTGGCTCTGGTGCCTTCGATGACGGGACGCTACGCAGTCTGCGCAGTGGTGTTGGCATGGAAGACTTGGGCGTGCTGGGAGAAATGGAGCACATCAGCGATCTTTGGGGACTGCAAACTCGAAGCACAGGCGACTACCTAGATACGCTTATTGTTACATTTGTTGACGAAACGCGTGTGTTCCAGTTTAGCCCTGACGGTGAAGTTGAAGAATTGGATAACTTCCTCGGACTTTCACTCACGGAATCTACACTGCTCGCCACAAGACTTCAGGGTGGCCGTATTCTTCAGGTTACAGAACAGCGAGCGCTGGTGGCTGATCTAGAAAGCGGAATGGTGATATTTGAATGGGTGCCTCAAGACCAGAAGCTGATCACTGCTGTGTCGACCAACGAGGACCATCTGGTCCTCGTTATTAGTGGCCAAATTGTGGCCTCCTTTGATATCAGAGACAATGTCCAAATCATCAAACTGAAGGATCTCGGTGCTGACCAGCAAATCTCTGGCCTGACTGTCCCATCAACGCCAACGGGAGTTTTTATCGCAGGCTTCCCTCAATCAGCCAAGGTGTCAATCCTGGATATCAAGGACTTCGCTGTTCTTCAAACGAAATCACTAGGTCCTCCCGGAGAGAGCTTCCCTCGATCAGTTCTTGTAGCCGAAGTGCTCGCAAACAGCCAGCCTACCCTCTTCATCTCCATGGCCGATGGCTGCGTCATCACATTCTCCCTAGATTCACGAGACTGCTCGCTAAGTGAGATGAATAAGCTGATTCTTGGTTCCGAACAACCCATCTTCAAGAAACTCCCCAAGGGCGATGGCCTATACAATGTCTTCGCTACCTGCGAGAATCCCAGCCTGATTTATGGTTCCGAGGGCCGGATCATCTACTCTGCGGTGAACTCCGATGGTGCATCACGGGTATGCCATTTGAACGCAGAGGCATACCCAGACTCCATCGCTGTGGCAACCGAGAAAGAGCTGAAAATCGCGCTGGTTGACAGGGAGCGCACAACACAAATTCAAACGTTGCCAATGGGTTCCACTGTTCGTCGTGTTGCATACTCTCCTTCAGAAAAGGCATTTGGAATTGGCACGATTGATCGCAAGCTCGAGAATGGTGCCGAGGTTGTGAAGAGCCACTTTGTCCTTGCCGATGAGATCATGTTCCGGCGTCTTGACGCGCTAGAACTGGGCCCTGACGAACTGGTGGAGAGTGTTGTTCGCGCCGAGCTCCCAGCAGGGAAGGATGAAAATGGAAAAGAGATCGTGAAGGACCGATTTGTTGTCGGTACAGCCTTCGCAGACGAAGACCAAGAGGAATCGATCCGCGGGCGGATCCTTATTCTAGAAGTCGATCATGGCCGCAAGCTGAGCCAAGTCGCTGAACTACCAGTTATGGGCGCCTGTCGGGCTCTCGCTATGATGGGCGACTGCATTGTCGCGGCACTTGTAAAAACTGCAAGTATTAATCAACTGCATGTTTGAACTCTTTACTGATGACATCCAGGTCGTTGTGTATAGAGTCAAAATCAATAATGTTGGACCGATGAAGCTTGAGAAGCTCGCTGCATACCGGACCTCCACCGCACCAGTCGACGTTACAGTCGTCGACAACCTAATAGCAGTGGCAGATCTCATGAAGAGCCTTTGCCTTATCAGGTATACACCGGGCCACACTGGGGAGCCTGCCAAACTGACCGAAGTCGGTCGTCATTATCAGACCGTCTGGAGCACAGCAATTGCTTGCGTCGGGGACGAGACATTCCTCCAGAGTGACGCTGAAGGAAATCTCATCGTTCTTTCGCGGAACACGAATGGTGTCACCGCCCAGGACAAACACAGGCTGATCCCTACTAGCGAAATCTCACTAGGGGAGATGGTTAATCGTATCCGACCAGTTCATATTCCACAACTTTGCAGCGTTATGGTGACACCGCGGGCGTTCATGGCGACAGTAAGTCCATCTCAATTGATATTGTTAACTAACACCAAAGACCTCTTTACTAACCTGTTCAAAGGTTGAAGGCTCCATTTTCCTCTTTGCCGTTATCAACCCCGAACATCAAGATTTCCTTATGACCCTGCAGGCTGCTCTTTCCCAGAAACTCAATTCACTAGGCAACTTGTCATTCGACAAGTTCCGCGGCTTCAGAACTATGGTGCGCAGCGCTGCTGCACCGTACCGGTTTGTGGACGGCGAGCTTATTGAGCAGTTCTTGAAGTGCACACCGAGCATGCAAGAGGAGATTGCGCAGGAAGTTGGCTCCTCAGACGTTGGGGAGGTCAAGAGATTGATTGAGGCTTTGCGGAGACTTCACTGATCTCTGATGAGGTACCCGTCTCTTAGGGCATGGGCGACTGGTTGCGAACAGTCCATGAATACAGGTAAAATACGGCGATGGCTGGTTTCTAGGAGGGCCCAGGAAAAGATTTCTGGCTCGGGGATGATTGGATTGGAAGCATGTTTAAGGTGCAAATAGAGATTTATGACTTCAAAGCATGCGTCAATTGTGCCAAGAGCTACGAGCAGTTCAGAACTTCAAACCAAAGTTAGAGGGGCCGTGAAGGTCCTATTAAATTAGAATCTACTGATTAAAAGTACAAAAGAACCTAGAAACCCCATCGACCATGCAAATGTGCACAGACTCAAGGACAACCCGAGACCGAAGACTCAAATCTCAAAGATCCTTCTTGACCTTCACATCAACCTCTTCCTCCTCACTCCAATCCAACAACTCCATAATCTGATCCCGACTCAAATCCTCAGCGCGCTGATCCTTCTTCACACGCTTGATGTAATTCTTCTGACGCTTGCGGGCCATATCATTCCACTCAGGAACACCACTAGCAGCCGCCATAAGATCCTCTTCATCCTCCAGCTCATCATCCGTATTGTCAACCTCACCAAGGACCTTGCCCTTTCCGCCATCACCACCGGCACGCAGCGAGTTTGGCGACACCTTGACTTTCCCGAACTGCGCCCTCTCCTTCTCGCGCTTCTCCTTCTCCTTGCGACGGTCACGGTCGTGCATCCACTTAAACGTCTTCTCAATGTACGGGCGGATGAGTAGGTAGAAGATCACGCTGCCGATGACTTTTGTCCAGCGCTTGCCGCTCATCTGCGCGATGGAGGCGTATCCGTTTTTGAAGAAACGGGTCACAATCAACTCGAAGAAAGCGTAGATTTGGCCAAAAAAATCAAGAGCAGCGGCCGCGGCCTTTTCGCTCAGATCTGCCTGTGGTGTGGACATGGTGGATGATGTGGTTTTTTTGGATTTTGGATTGAGGGTTTAGAGGGAGATGGGAACTCGGTGGTTACCCGCAGAATGGGGTGGGAAGTTGTAGAAGAGGACAGTCAGAGGTAGATTAGAGTAAAGTAGAGAGTTTTCGTAAGAGTTTTAAGAATTGAGGGATTAATTGACGGGGTCTGCGATTGCTTTGCGCTTCTTTGATATTCCGCGGCTACCGTAACGAGGGATACCTGTTTGGGGCTAGCGTGGCCTAGATGCCGGATTAGCCATTAATCCGCGGACGCGTCATTGGCCAATTAGATGTCGCCAGTTTTACATGAAGACGCGCTCGGCTTGTTATCTTGCATTTTCTCACCATGGAGCAAACTGAAGAGGCTAGTTTGGAGGAGGTCAGTGTCAGTGGGACCTTGTCATCTACTTGGCTAACTCTATCTTGTAGCGCTTGAAGTCCGCGTTGTGGTTGTCCATCGGCAAAATTGTGGATGAGGAGACTATCAAGCTGGGAGTCAATGCCACTCCGCAGTTTATCGGTGCCTTGACAGAGATGGTTTGGGCTCAGATAGGTTTGTTTCGCCCAGTAGTTGACTTTTTGTCTTTACAACTGACTATTCGCAGAGACAGTCAGCCAGGATCTAGAATCCTTTGCAAAGTAAGTAAGCGTCATTGCTGCGACAGAGTAGTAATTGTTGCTACTATTCTCATGGGATAGTACTTCTAACCAGAAGTGTACTAACATTATTTTCTGATCCAGACACGCAGGGAGATCCACCGTCAATATGTCTGATGTGATGCTACTCGCTCGGCGCAATGAAGGACTGGATTCAATTCTCCGGGCTTTCGTTGAACAAGAAAAGCAACGCCAGGAAGACTCCTGAAGAGTGGTATGTCAGCCGGCTTCGATTAAAAAGACATCATGCAGTCTTACAGGCCATTGTCAAGGATTATGTCGCTTTCAACCCGTGATTCCCAACCGAATTAAACTGTGAGTTGAAACATGAGATCTTAATTGCATCCATTATTAGACACCATTCTTAGACGTTTACAAGATCAGCATCTTGCATTCTTGATCGTAAAACTGACATCTCTCCAAGAAGCTTGCTCGATTTGTATGGCCTGTGAAGCAACAGGGGTATCAGCTATACCCAAGCGTCCGCGCTACGGCAGCGGTGGCACTCTTCAACTCATATTGATGCAATATGCATTCCCCACTAAGGCGCCCCTTACCCAGGCGAAACTAGGCTCTTTGTCCAGATCCGAATCACGAATCTAATCGCGACGAAAATTGTACCAAGTACTTTATGTGGGCAGTAGCACCATGTTGAAAATATTTAGGTGACACGGGCTAGCACAGAGTCATGCTGCATTACAGCCTAGTATTTTGGCAGATATTTGTTCTCATCCCTGCTGGACCACACCTTGTGTTTCTTAACTCCACAAACTTCATCTCACCAAGATGATATTCTATTTCCTCTGCGGCAGATCTAATTTCACCAAGGTTTCCCGTTATACCTCGTACGTTTGCAATGTTTGTATTCGGCAAGTGGGCGTGGCGCGGAAGACCCAGCGAAATTTCCGGATGGGTGCAGACGTCATTTCCAATGTGGCGGGTTTGTACAATGGACTCCAGCCACTATATCTACAATAGTATACGGTGGTACAACACAGCCACCTGTTGTAGAATTCATAGGGGAAAGCGAAGGTGCTGGGAAGTGGCGGTTTTAAACGAAACGATACCACTACTGGTATCAAAGTTGTCTCATGTATGGAAGGATACTTAAATTGGTTAAAAGTGTTGCTTGAGCGCTAGTTTTTCTTGTAGTTCTTTCCAATTTCATCTTCAACTGAAAACCCCGATAATACCTCATATCAGTGGAGATTCAAGGCCACTTAAGGGCTGTCTATTGCAGGCTGGGATATACAGAACTATTTGAAATGATCTGTAGATCGTATAAAGTGTAAGGGTCAAGAAAGTTGTGAAATTAGACGGTGGCGACTTCTATAACCGGAGACGGCAAGGTGGAACTCAGCTGATATCATCGAGTGGGGTCATCTGGGGTCATTTTAGAGTGTGGCGCAGATGGCCGTAGAGCTGCCCCAGGATTGACGTGCATCTGATCTTAATCTTGATCCTTAAAACTCATATCCTGTTGGGTTAATTTCACATCTTCTCTCCCCTGGATAATACAGTCGCTACTGACATACACCCAAAAATTGCCTTCGTCCACTTTGTACAACATGGGAGCCGGCGGGGTTATCCTGCGGTTTTTCAACCTCGGACTGCGTGTTCTGCAGTTCCTTGATGCCGCCGTCATTCTCGGCATCTTTTCGTACTTCTTGGCTGTCTTGACCAGGAATGACCAAACCATCGTGACATGGATCAAGGCTGTTGAAGGCTTGGCAGGAGCAGCAACCGCCTACAGTCTGCTCGGCATCATATTATCCTGTTGCCTGGGCGGTGTAGCCTTCTTTGCATTCTTGGGTGTTGCCCTGGACATATGCTTTGTGGGCGCGATGGTTGCCATCGCCATCTTGACTCGCGATAGTGTTGGCAAATGTACTGGAATAGTGGACACACCAATGGGCACGGGCAACGCCAACTATGACACTGCTTCCAAGAATCTGAAATTTGGCATGGCCTGCAAACTGGAAAAGGTCGTCTTTGCAGTGGCGGTGATCGGAATGTGAGTTGATCCTAAATTAATGATAATCACTGTTCTTTGGACCATGCTTATTTATCTTGCCTAGCTTTTTCTACTTGACCTCCATCCTTTTCCAAATCCTTCTTGCCCGCCACCACAAGCGTGAGAAGCGGTTCGGTCCCTCCCCTACCAACGGCTACACCCATGGCAGTCGCAAAGCCTTCTGGCGTCGTAACAAGAACATTCCTGAGGCTACTGGCGGTGCCGATACTTTACCCGGCCACCCAACTCCTCAAGAACTGGAGATGGGTGCCGAGCCCAACACGGAGAAGGGCTGGTTCAGCTCGTGGGGCAAAAACCAGAACGCAGCCAATGCTCCGGTTGCTATTCCGGCTGCGGGTAGCTATGGTTATCGTAGCTCGGCGTACACTGGCAACATCTAGGTTGCTGGTGCAAAATACTATCTGTTCCGAGTATACTGATCTGAATGGACCAGTGCCCGTACGCTGGTCGACGTTTCTATGAGCCCCTTGTGTTATTTGAGAGCCACGATACCACTGCTTTAGTTGTATTTAGATTGGACTGTAAAATGTGGAGGATATCTGGCAAGCATATTTGGGTCTCTCGAGACCAGCTGGTCACGATTTTAATATTAATCAATTTTCTCTTCTACATATGTCTTTCCACACCAAGTAACCTATTAAAGGTCCCGATTTGAGGTTCGTGTTCCTAGATGTAACATGAGAATGGCATTCAGCCTTGCTTTCCGCATGCGTCAAAATTTGGCAACATACCGGATTCGATCTTGTGAGACCGATGGCTGATTTCCCTTCAGATTGACCTGAGGAATGATGGGGATATTTCTTGAAATTGATTTAACTTATATGAGGAGAAGATCATGTTAGTGCCGCGCCCAAGTAAGCTACTATCGACGCTATGTCTCCCTGCGATGCTGATCAGCTCGTTCGGTTAACAACATCCATGACCACATGAGATGGCTATCTGGATAGTCGATAATCTTCTCATTTGGTTGCTAATTTGCTTGGGAAGATAATAAAGAGAAGATCAGCCAAAGGATGGCAGTAGTGTGAGATGTGCCCAAATGAATTCTAAACGGTGTACACGGATGGAAGTTCATATGAAGGGCTTTAATCAAATTGCATGAAATTCATAACCAAAACTGGTAGATATACTTCAAAAACTATTAAGAATCACCGATGACAATGCTAGGATCCAGGAGGAAATTGATTGGCGGCCGTCTTTCTCTACACCGCGAAGGAGACGAGGTATTCAGGGCTTGGGGCAGAACTAAGATAAGAAAATGTAGCATTTCCAGACATTGGGATCCTGCGAGTTTATCCTCAGAGCTCCATAAGGATAAATTGGACAAGCACTTTGAAAATCCAGAGCCACGGGTTTTCCCCCGTGGAAATAACTCTTCATCCGCATCGTGAAAGAGATGAAGTCCCCAGAGCTCGGAGCAGACCCCATGGGTACAAGGTCTTCTGGCTTTTCCCGCAACTCCAGATGAGATAGGCAGACACCTCGAGAACCCTAATTCAAGGAGATCTCACGGATTGTTCAGCCAACATTCCTCCTTTCGCTTGCTTGGAATCTCGCAGCATATCCCGTTTGTTTCGCAGGAACACGGACGGTGTAGGCCAGTGGTCGTTTGTAAACTAGGCGCTGGGAATCTCGTTCGTCAGTGCTGTTGTAGCAGTTGAATGATTCGGTTACCGGGGTACTACTCGGCCTGACAAGGGCCAGGAGAATGAGGGAGAGGAAGAAGATATCTCTAGGCATCGGAGCGGATCCCTTGGGCACAAGGTCCCCTGGCTGTTCCTGGAATTTTACAAGAGAAGCCAGAGGAGACCAGGCAGATATGTATGCCTGGCCAGGACGAGAACACAGAGCTATTCCTCGCCCTCGGGAGATAATGACTCGAGGTAAGAACTGGCAGCATGTGCATGCCACAAGATCAGGAAAACATCTTCTCTGAACCTTTGTACCAGAAGCGAGATACAACAGAGTAGGAAGCGCTCGAGCGACCATTCCTCACGTTTTGTTTCATCCCAAAGCATGTTTGGGCACGTATTTTGTCAGATGACGGTGAGTTTTTAGTGAAACCACGGGGATTTATCAAAGGCCCGGTCCTGGAGCAGTGCCCAAGAAGATCGTTTGTCACATGCTTGTAGGAAGTTGAAGAGAGCGAATCTGGTCATATGCTTTATCCACGAATGTAGAGTGACTGCTATGAGCATCTCTACCACACGAGATCTCAAAAGTTCAAGTAGGCCTGAGTCAGGCACTCTCTGTGGAGGTAGCCAAGAGTTTGACGGAAGCGCAGGCTCGTCTGGTCTGAGCCAGACAAGAACAGCATCTGCATCACAAATCTAATCTTAAAGTTTTGAGTGAATGCGATTTAGGACTCTGTGGGGCTTCTTTCTAGTTGAAGTAGGAAGAAATCCCGCACGAAGAACATATAGGCGACCATATTGCTGATATCTAGGCGTTTGATCTTCTGGCACCGCTGGTCGACACAGAAGAGCATATCTGTGCTCGCCATAGATTTTTCGTCCATCATTCCGAAGGCAGCAGATTCTGAGATAAATCTGCCTGGAGAGCCCTTGGCGCATAGTTCGGAAGCTTTGTACAGTCTCCCATCAGTTTTAACAACAACCGGAAGATGTAATGTATGATGCAGCCTACAATTTCCAATTCATTTCGAAATTTCTTGGATGGTAAGTATGATTGTACGTAGCCAATTAGATTTTAAGTTGATATGTATGTATATCGTTTGCAACTTTTTTGAGCGATCTGACCAACTGAAACCAACCAACCCTTGAAAATCACACATGAACTATTTTCCGACAGATCACCGCTTGTGTAGGAGAACACAACTGTAAATGTCAACTCAGATAGGAGCAAGTCAGCGGCTGCGAAGTTGTCGAGGTGGCACATGACGATCCACACAAGGACCGGAACTGCCTAGGTAGGGATTAAATAGGCTCGTGCACGATTTCATCTGGTTACTACGGGAGTGGCAGTTGGCTGGGTAGAATGGGTAAGGGGGCACAATTTTTAGATATAGTATGAGGAAGATGAAATTTTCTTAACCCTCCAAGTAGTCCAAGGAGGGAGAATGTTGATCATCTCGTGTCATTGATTTGCTTCCAAATTGAGTCCCAAATACCTAAAGCGGAGTAACTCGGAAGGGTCATGTTTTACCTAAAAATCCCTGATTGATCGAAGATGTTCAATTATAAGTTCTATACTAGTTGTCTTGAGTAAGGATACGATGAGATAAAGGACGTCCGGCTAAGAATTTGTCCAGGATCTAGAGTCAAATCGCTACACAACCCTGCCACTCAGATGATTTATTGGAAATTGGGAGGTTTGAATGACCAAGATACGGTCAAGGAAAAGCCACATTTAGGTATTGTGGATTCTACAACATAGGAAGCGCATAGCGTGAACCAAGTCTAAACTTCAAATCAACACACGAAATCATCAAGGAATTTAACAAATAACGCCACCAGAAATAGACATTCACCAGCTCATCGCTTGACAGGTCATAAAAAGAAAATTAAAGAACAATACAGAGTGCCCAAAAGCCGGGCTGAAGGTAACGTAACTGGCAAAGCCCAATGATTGAATGTGGTGAGCAAAGCTCACTCGACGCATTCAGTGTTGTGTTTGGGTTACAAAATCTGCAATATCCACTGGATGTTACGAAAAGAAAAAACAACAGCAAAAGCCAAGAGAAATGAACAGCAGAAAAACGAAGTTTACTGGCGAGCAGTGATGGCGCCCCAGCGGCAAATAGTACCAGCAGCGACAGAGCCCATGAAGACAGGTTTGTTGTTAGAGCACAAGGCAAAGGAAAATCCATCTGGAGAGCAGATGATGTCACCAGAGTGGCAAGACCATTGAACGACATTGTTTGAGAACTGATTGCCGGATGAGGCTTCGGTGGAGAGATTACGAGAGTTAGCGGTAGCGGAGGGAGTGCCGAAGGACTGGGCGATCTTGGACACAGCGTTGGTGGTGGTGGTGGTGGTGGTGCTGGTAGTAGCGGGCTTTTTCTCAAACTTGGAGATGCTTGTGGTAGAAGAGGTGCTGGTAGGAGCGGGCTTTTTCTCCAACTTGGAGACGCTTGTGGTGGAGGGCTGTGATTCGGAGTTGGAGCTGCTATCGAGGAAAGGAGCGTGATCGGAGCACTTGTAGCCAGGGCCATCAGCCTCGCCGACGAGCTTGGGACCGGGATTAGGGAAATGAACGGCCTGCCCCTCAATGGTCACACAATTTCCAGCTTGGTTGACGTTGGCAACGAAGATATCTGGGAGACTATCGAAGCTGCTTTTGGCGTTTGGACTGTGGGTATTGGCTTTGCTGTTAGACGTCTGGTCGTTTGCCTTGTTGTTGGGTCCCTTGACTGTGTGTTTGTGGTCAAGCTTCTGGATTGGAGCCTTTTTAGACTCGTGGTACTCGGAGTCTACAGTAGCGTTGCGGTTTTCAGAGCCCCCAATCGTGATCATAGCACAGTTCATGTACATTTCGCGGTTGCCAATCTTGTTAAACCACGTCCAGGCAAAAAGAGCATCACCACTTGGTGCGTCCGATGGGACGTCAAATTGGTATTTCTTAGCAATAGGGCAGTCGCCCTCGATTGACTCAATGACTTTGAAAGTTTTCCCTTTGTCATAAGTGAGCGAGAGTTGACATGAGCCGCCGTCATGGACGGCACTCCCTTCCAACGTCATCTCTTGGGAAGAGCCGGGCTGCCACGTATCTACGGCCTCAAAGTCATCATTGGCGTAGCCTTTGCATGGGTAGTCGCTACCAGAGGTGGAGAGAGGGTTGGTGTAAGAATAGTCTTTCTCTCCCTTGGCGTCCTTGTTGAGGGGACTGCGGATAGGGTAAGGCTTGCTCAATTGCATGTGAGCCGAGACAGTAGTCGCCAGAAGGCCAGAGAGGATAAATGTGCTCTTCATTGTGTATTAGGTATTTCTCTGACACGGGTTAGTCTGCTGTTGATAACGGCAGCATCCAATGAATGCCAAAGGAAAGGGCGGAGCAGTCACTAGCCCTATACTTACAATGACTTTTGAGAATATTTGTGAATCGATGTTCCTCGTGATATGATGTCAGGGACGTAGAGAACAAAGCTCAATCGTAAGAGAACAGAGGCTTAGGAATAGAGAATAATCTACGGATTGTCGACAGCAATTAGTATAAATACATGGTCGGTGTTTAAAAACATTCCACATAAATCCACAGAGGAATGGCAGATATCATCAATTTGCGGCCTTTTCCCACGCGACAATGGTTTAGCGATGGGCCCTCGCAACGTAAAGAATGTTTAAAACCATTGCCCTACGCCATCGTTTGTGCTCGTCTTCGTACAAGACGTTGAGGTTAAAAAAAAGTATGTGACTTCCATATCTAGCATGGGCTCTATCTGCAATCTCGATGAATGAATGCATCATAAAAGTCTCACCAATCTAATCCCGACCTTGGTTTATTTCGACACTCAGATCACTAGCAAGGAAACCCCCGCTAATTAGTGGCAAAGTCTCGAGGGGCAACTGGAATGGAGTTAGAGGGCCCCAAGGCCGGGCAAGCCCTAAGGGGTGATCGAAACCCCTGTCCCCCCCTACATGCCAACCCAGGACATCCATCAAGATTTCCGAAGCAAAGGGGTTTGTTTACATCCACTTTTTATCTATCAAGTTTCTTTTGGTTACGTCCATGACATAGGCAAAAGCTTATTGCTGCAAGATCTGAACAGTGCTAGGTACACTCTACGCATTGCTCTGATAGTCAAACATGTTCCGAATGCATGGAGTGTTCCAAGTAACCGGGCTAAATCCATAAACAAAAATTCGGTCAAGTCCTGCCAATTGATTGTAATTATACTTCAAAATTAGAAAGAAATATATATATGTATAGATACATGTACACTCACAATCAGAACATCCGCCAAGTACAACACTATGCAGCCTCGACTACTTCCTTCATCACGACGACCTTCAAATCCGCCACAACGAATGCCACACGCTCCATAGAACGACTTCCATTGCGGGTTTTGATCATTTGCCGCAGTATAGATTTATGGAGGAAAATGATGGACTCTAATCAGAATCAATATTGAATTCCCCAATTTCCCCTGAAGCCGTTCCTGTGAGGACACCAGTTCCAATGATCCCACCATCATTGGCCTCCCGCAGGAAGACATTTTTTCCTCCTACTTGAGGACCAGCTCAAAATGGCAGTCGATCATTAAATCTCTGTTAAGTTTCTTTACAATGAGGATCATGCTGGATCACCTTATCCGAGAAAGCCACAGCGAACTCCTCGAGCCCGCTATTCCAACCTGGAGTTGACAATGAGGCCGACTTGGAGTCCATTGGTTCAGTAACTCCAGTTTCCGTGTATGCATTTCCTCCATTGGTGCTCTTGGGCGCTTTGTTGCACAACTGGACTTCAGCGGTACAGGCTAGAAGACTAATTACTGCAAATGCCACCAAAGAAGCCGCTCGGTCCTGTACAGCCGAGGCAATGGCTCGAATGTCACGGGTGTATTTAGGCAACCAGGTCTAATCACTCCCAGTAGATGGTTGGAGTGTCTTGGATAACTCACTTGCCAGGAGCTCATCGGACAGAGAAGATGCAACCAGAAGGGCGAGAGAATCCGTTGACAGACAGTATTCCTTAACCAACTTCAGCGGTAATTTAAGAGCGCTGTATTCCCCAAACTCCATGCAACCAATCATAACAAACGATGCGGACGAGCTCGCCAGTGTATCTACCGCCGATCCCATATTCCATTGGTTGGAAACCAGGCTTTTCAGAATTTCTATCCAACTGAAAGTCTCAGTTCAGATGCCAAGCTCATCGAAAGAAGCTGCCGCAGTGGTGAGGGTCCAAATCGGCGAGAGGAGTGTTTCCTGTGCACCGGAATATTTTTCAACTTGAAATTTTGGATTTAATTCGGAAATCTATTGAGGAACGATCGTGTTGTGTCCCACGCCCACGATCAGGCCCATAATAGCACGGGTGTTGCGAAAGGAAGGGATGGAATACGCTATATTTGGCCTTGATACGGCCCGGTTTCTGCGTCTCGGAGTAGCATGCGGAGGCATTTTGTCTCGAATTTGGCACTTAGCCACGGGCAGCTGCTTTAGTGACCAAGACATCCCACAGTTTTGGAGATCTGTGTAAGCCCCAGAAAGATGTACAGACATTTCACCAATCGATGGGCTCTGCGGGGACCAGCTTCTGTTCAATTGCCTCGGGAGTCATTGTGGCAATCAGAAATATGGATCATCATCAAGCTTGCACACGGAAGTTAGCTGATGACCTCGTGACTTGACAGAACTTGGATTCATTCTCATCTTTGGGTCTTGATAGTGAAATGATCACACCCGTTTTGCCTTGAAGACTGTTTCACCCTTGGTCTCTCTAGTCTCCGGTCTCCTACTTTTAGCCATTTCCCCCTTTTAATGTAGAAAATGTGTCATTTGTGCAGGCACCCGGCCACATCTCCGTTCGATCACCAGGGAAACGTTCTGTGTTATTGAGGCTAAATGGTATTGAAGGGCCGCTTTCTTCGGGTGATGACTTTGGCACATAATAGGCTTGCATATGGGCCCATGAGGTATCAATGTGTTATCTGGTATATTGTAGATCAAGAATCAATAACCAGCAAGCCCTGAACAGATTGCAAATATGGATATATCAAAATTTGAGTAAAGAGGTTAATCGGTCGACTGTCGCGGTGAACGTGCGGTGAGTCGCGTTGATTAGCGCGTTATGGAACATCCCGCCCTCACAAACTCTCAAAAACCCCCCCAACACTCATTAGCCTACCTCCCAAAGTTCGCTGAATGTGTCGGTCTTTTCCTCGGCTGCTGCAGGGTCTGTCTATTCGTGTCCATCCCTTGGAAGCTAGTCAACAGGGTCGACATACGTCATTGATAATCCCTGAGTCCATTCCCGTGGCGAGAACCAGATCGCTCGCCCCAATCCACAATACTCGCCATGCGGCTCACTGCGCTCTGCCCTTCTCATATCTCTCGTCTGAAAGTGTCGCGCAATCTTCGAGCACATTGTGGTCTACATCATCACGTGCATATTCTCAGAATCTTGGTCGAAAACCAAAATATCTAGATCCACAAGATATGGTCAGGGCAACTGAGGCACCTGGGCCTGAGGTGAAGCCGGCGGATATTCTTAATGGAGTTCTACCCTTGCCTGCTGGTCAGGCAGAGTTTGCATTGGACCCGGAATCAGATGAAGAGATTCCCATTGATGCGGAAGAGCTAAAAGAGGCGCTCAGCCGGCCCCCACCGGTGAATAGTAGCTACCTTCCTCTTCCTTGGAAAGGCCGATTGGGATATGTGAGCTACACCGTGCTAGGCACGATATCGCCCCTGTCGATGACATTGGACTCTGACTGGAACAGGCTTGTCTAAATACGTACCTTCGCTATTCAACACCCTCTGTATTTTGTTCTCGAACATGTCGAATCGCCTCTATACTCGAAAATCGACACCCTCTCCAAGATCCCGACCAGCCCACACACCCGATCAAGAATCGTCCAGATCGCGACCAACCGGCTGATGTTGCACGCGGACAAGCCTTCGTCGAGGGGCTGGCCTTGGCGAATGTACGCGATTTGGTCAAAATCATTCGTTGGAACGACAAATATGGCATCAAGTTCATGCGACTTAGCAGTGAGATGTTCCCCTTTGCAAGTCACAAGGAATATGGCTATAAGCTGGCCCCGTTCGCCTCCGAGGTGCTGGCAGATGTCGGGCGTGTGGTTGCAGAACTTGGACACCGGGTGACAGTTCACCCTGGCCAATTTACTCAATTTGGATCGCCGAGGAAGGAAGTTATCGAGAATTCTGTTCGCGATCTCGAGTATCATTCGGAGATGCTCCAGCTACTCAAACTCCCCCCACAGCAAGATCGTGATGCGGTCATGATCCTTCATATGGGTGGAGTGTTTGGTGATAAGGCTGCCACGCTGGATCGATTCCGAGAGAACTACGCTATTTTGTCGCAAGACATCAAAAGCCGACTGGTTCTGGAGAATGATGACGTTAGCTGGTCCGTTCACGATCTACTGCCGATCTGCGAGGAGCTCAATATACCCCTTGTTCTCGATTATCACCATCATAATATCATTTTTGACGCCAACGAGGTCCGAGAAGGCACCGAGGATATTATACCTCTGTACGGGCGTATTTCAGCAACATGGTCTCGGAAGAATATCACCCAGAAGATGCATTATTCCGAACAAACCTCACCCGCCATCACCCGACGCCAACGGCGCAAACACAGTGCTCGCGTAACTACATTGCCCCCTTGTCCGCCGACCATGGATTTGATGATTGAGGCCAAGGACAAAGAACAAGCCGTATTCGAGTTGATGAGAAACTTCAAACTCCCCGGCTACAATCTTGTGAACGAAATGATACCCTTTATGCGCCCTGACGAAAACCAGCCATTTAAACCACCCAAAAGGTCCAAGAAAAACGGGGGCTTCGTGGACCTAGAAGGCTCAATACCGCCGCCTCGCACCATTCCAGACGAAGAAGTCGGAATGGGTGGAGCGGACGGCAGAGTCTACTGGCCCGAGTGCATGGAAGAATGGCTCCGGCCGGCAAAGAAAATCATGAAGCCTAAAGCTGCGCTAAGTCCCAAGAAAGGTATCTTCAAAAAGGGTAAGATTGAGTCTGTCGCAGACGCTGCTCCCCTAGATAAGCCCATCAAGATAGAAACGCCAGTAAAAAAACCCCCCAGAGCCACGAAACGCACGCCTCCATCGTCTAGATCTCGCAAGCGCAAGGCTTCATCACCCGAGTCCACCACAGAGTCTGAAGAGACTGAAAACACTGAAGAGATTCCAGTGGAACTAGACAGTGCTTCGGCTTCGATGTCACTTTCTCAACGAAGTTCACGTGCGAAGAAAGTGAACTACACCGAAGACAGTGTATAATTTGTACTTGTTGTTCTTGTATATTATGTTTAGTTAGCTTTATACGCATGGGTCGGAAAAGAAGTGGCTTTTTTATCATTTTAGTTAAAGAATTGTTGTACATAAAGATTTCTGTTGGAAATTTCTCTTCGGATCATTTAAGTTCGAGTTAGGCACATCAATTGACCATACCATACCTTGCTGTACACCTATATTTGTTCTAGTAACTATGAAGCCAGGCCTTTTCAACCATTCGACAGTTCTCCGTTGACGCCCACGCAGTAGGAAACATTGGCCTGGAGTTCAGTACCGCAGTCCGCAGCAGTCGTCCCCAGCACCGTGTTCCACTCGTACAGCTCCGCAGTCGTGATATTGTTCGCCGTGGCAAACTTGCTGCAGCAGTCCCCGCTAAGTGCCTCGGCATATTTGATGCAATTGCGGGAAATGCTGTTCGCTTGGGTAGGAGACGGAATGACAACGGTGCTTGTGCTTATGCCTGTTTTTGACGAACGCATTGTCTTGCTGGCTGTCGATATGCTCGCTGATATGGTGGAGATGACGCTGCCGGTGCCTGTCGCTGTGGCTGTCGTAGCTTCTGACGTCCAAGAGATAGTGATGGTGACTATCGTGTCTGGACCAAGATGATCGGAATCTCGATGCCCTACGAGGCGTCTTATACCCAGAGTATGTGAAGATTGAGAACGACCTGGGCGATGATGTGAGCTACTGGGAGAATCAAAACCCAGGTGCCTGTGAAACCACAGAATGTGGTGGCAGCTGTTCCGCAGGCACCACCGAGATTACCACTCTCAAATGCCCATCAGGAGGAAAAAAGAAACAGAAGCTATGCTGTCCAGTATCATCCGCTCCAGATTCAAGTAAATGAACTTAGCGAGGTGGGCCCGGTCTCTGCAATGGGCAGTGTCATGGCGGCGAGGTTGCCCTGGCTTCTAGTAGAAACGGTGGAAATGGTCACTGCACTGATGGTGAGAGGCCAAAGTCCAAGACTTATGCAATTACCCTGCAACCTAAAGGAGCATATAGGTTCGTCAATTCTACTGCTGTCCGATTCCTGAAGTGGTGGATAAAGTTGGGATAAACTGTGGCTGGCAAAAGGAATACCGCTCTGACCAGACTCTGATGACCTTTGCGGGCACCTTTTTAGAAGACCTTACCCCTTTGACAGAGATTGCCGGTCTGTTTGGCCAGCCTCTTGAGGATGCACTCGATCAATTGGACGTTGACAATGATAAGAAATACTGCTGCGGTACGGAGGAGGCAACAAATTGGAAAGACTGCTACTGGGCTGTAAGTTTCCACGCTTGCCTCAGTCAACATTGACAAAAAGAATAATGAGCCAAATTAATAACTGAAGATCTCGCAGGGAAAAACTGGAAAGGGAGTTTATAGCTGTGATGACAATCACTGCAAGACCGGAATTGAGGTAGAGTTGACAACGAGTTACTTCGGTGGTGGAGAAAGCTGTAAGACTATGTAAGTCCGATTGATCGACCCCGAGGGATCTGTTCTCACTTGTCGCAGGACCGAGAGACAACGTGCTTTCTGCTGTACGCCTTCAAGCGGACGGAGCCCCTTCTTGCCTGTTCCTCTCGAGTACCTGTTTCCCAATCCTCCCCCTTCTAATGTGGCAGATCCGACTTTTAATTTGAAGGTCGACGACACTTGGGGAACGGGAAAAGCAGAGTCAGATGATGAGCCTAATGTTATTCTATACCCACAGCGCCTTAACTTCCCAAGAGCAACCTTCAGGGTTCCAATTACGTTGATCAAATCCCAGTTTGTCCCAGTCATCCTTTAAATTGATGGAGCTGACCATTGAACGCAAATAGGTGTGGTCACGATCGGACCGAACATGGCAGTTTACGCGTCGGCCAATGCAGCCATTACGCTGTCTGCACATCTCAAAGCAGAGATCAACATTGGCTCCTGGGACATTCAGCAAACCTACCCCCAAACGAACCAATATCCAATGGCCGCGCTAGAGTCTCCGAACTATGATGGAACCCAAACACTTGGAACCCCTTCAGTCTCGGCCTCTGTTAGTGCTGTGGGAGAGCTAGCACTTCATCTCAAGCCCAAAGTCACATTTGGCATCGTATTTGATGACCGATGGGATGTTCCTGATTGTAGCGTGGACCTTGTTCTGGACGGCTATGTCATTTTCCACGCAGAGGCATCTCTATCCACAGATTCAGACAGCTCATGCCCCTTCAGCTATGGTATCGACGCGGGAGCGAACGTTTATGGGCTGCTCAATGCACCAAGCCTCTACAAATGGGGTGGAACAATGCAAGTCCCGATCGCCAGCGTACCACGAAAGCACGTATATGGACAGGAATGGACTGGCGAGCACTAGCCAAATGCACTTCCCTCAAGCAGCCAACTTTGGGTCTACTCCCGTTCCGGGCACTGTAGGTACGGTATGTGGGGAAATAATGACCTAGGAGCCTTGGGAGTATGATTGAAGTGAGTGGGGCTGGCATTACAAAACGCGGCGTATCTGTTGTATTAGCCAAGCGAGATTTCAAAAAAGTGATTTAATCATTTCTATGGTTGTTAACAACGTGAGATAGCTTTAAACCCCACTACGGTTTCTCAATAATTGCCAAGCTGTTACAACATATGTTCAACCCAGCTAGTTAGATTTGTAGGTATCATTGCCAGCCTTCCTGCTGCTTCAGGCATCCCTGCGCTTTGCCAAACCTGGTATACCACGTAGTCACCACGTTCGTCTTTAGGCTTAAAAACATTGCTCTGCATCGCCGCATCTGTGATTTCGTTTCCGTCAGTTAGGAAAAAAGCACACCAGGCCCAGTGAGGAAATCCGAACGGTCGAGAATGACAAAGAAAGTACGGTATGGTTCCCTGTCCGATGGAATTTCAACCTCAGGCTCACATCGCTCCTGCGGGAAACTCCGGCTGCCTTTATGAAGCGCTCCTATGGCTATCCTTGGGCGAGAGTTGATGAGATCCCGGTGAGACGCTAGGATGGCAGGTAGGGATTGATCTGCCGAAAAAAAACTCAAATTTGACAGTCTTTCCTCGCGGAAGGTTGTCGACAATCGCAGCAGTAAAGGCCCTCGCGATTATTACAAGCTCCAATCCGAATTGCTTGTAAGGGAAGGCGATGTGAATAATGTACTGAAGATCTGGTTCTAATGTCGCGGCTGTATGATTCGACTTAATGGTGACGGCACTATCTGGGAGTGATTGTATATCGAATTCGTCATGATCCAACGAATCAGCTTTGTTCTGGAGCAATTCAATCATCTCCGGTACGAGAGGTTGACTAGATAAGGACTGATCTCCCTCATCTTCATTCAGACCATAATCGAACTCATGCCCCGCCACATCGCTCTGACTTCGGATGATTAGAGAGAATAGTTTCCAGCAATTGGTATCCACGTGTCGGCATTTTCGCACGATAAGTTCTTCTCTCTCTGAGTATAATTGGCAATCAACACTGATGGTTGAAGGATCAAATCCACGTGGGGTAGAGAACTGAATTCGGGAGGAAAGATCGACTTTCGCCCTGATTGGGAAACTCCGATTAAATTTCACCCACAATGGACCAGATTCAGCCTCATAATGAGATCTAAATGTATCGCGGAAGCTATAGGAAGTGATCAAAAGTAGGAACCCCTGCAAAAGTTGATTGTCGCTGTCGGGTGCCACTTTTGCGATACCAGGGAGGAAATCTTCACCAGGAGTATTAGTCTTTCGGTAAAGAATTTCACGTTTTTGATGCTCCACGCTGCCAAATTCATCAGCCTAGGGGGCATAGATCTCGAATGACATGTCTGAGGGATAAGAAGAGACCTGCGAAGAGAGATATTGACAGAGAGAGGTGTAGTCATTTTGGGGGTCTTCCTCAGAGCCCAATTCTATGGGGACGGTAAACCTGAATGGCGATTTGTGGAAGATGAGCTGGCAAGGCTTCCGAGTTGGTCTCTTTGAGTGTCATGAGAATCGCAGGTTGGTGTGCGTGATCTTGATAAGCTTGAGAAACCCATTGGAGACGTGGAGTCTCCCGCCAGGCTTTTGTCCTGGCCATTACGCTGTGTCTTTGGTGGGAGGGGGGCAAAGGGGAACATGGGCGCAGTTTGCCGAAAGGAGGAGGAAGATGATGGCGTGTAAGTTACCGCTTTAAATGACTAAACCAACTCGGATTAATGTAGATCCCGCCCGAGCTGCGCACCCATCAGCAGTCTAGTTGTACAGTTGACCCTAGACACAACATACAAGACGTAGCGCGAAGAAGCGCGAAGAAGCAAAAGTAAATTTCTCGCGGGTAAACGCAGATATGCCATGTGAGTTTTTTTTTTGATATGGATCAACTGGACCTATATCCCATTATCCAAGGTCATTTCACCAGCGAGAGAGGATTGTGCGGTAGGAAACAATGCTGTGGGCGATGAAACAACCATCGGTATCTTTCTCGGTGCCGCGGAGCTGTCGATCTGCCCCTCCTATTCCTGAATGTTTCAGGTGGACTTGAAATAGTTTTTAAACTGGATTCTGGTGTGTTGAAACCTGAAACCTGAAACCTCAGTGGTCTCGGGTGAACTATATCCCGACACGCCCAGCCACCGCCTTCCCCAAGCTCTAAAACGTAGAAGTAGGCAAGGTGACCCTGTGGTTGGCACGTACACCAGAAACTCCTTGGTATACCCAGCGGTGTTTATCAAGGCGCAGCGTTGCCATCTGTTGTTTTTTTGAGGTTCAGTGTAGTCGCAGATCATTCGGATCATAAGAAAGAGAAGTGGGTCATCAGGCCGCTTCTATCTCAAAGTTGATGCAATCCTCACAGGATTTAGCCGCGCGGTTCGCATCAAGCTAAGTGAGAAGTATGATCGATTTTACATGTATTCTCTAGCTCTAGTATTCACAGAAATGAATCAATGCCATCCTGTCAAGAGCTTTGATTTACACCACGACGATAAGGGCTGTGGTGAGATAAGTAAACAAAAGTTGCGGGGTTTCCAAGGTTTCAACTGAAGCGGAGCCCGCTTTCTGCAGACGCCCACCAACCACACTTTTCCTTTCCTTCTCCCCACGAACCTCAAACCGGCAGACTTTCAGATGTACTTCGCCTAATTATTAACGCACTTCCAACTAGACGAGCCTAATCCCGCACCCGGCACGAGATCCTGCCCGCGCTCCGACACCGGGCCCAATCGCTCGGTAGACTCGCGATTGTCTAACGACAAGTGCGACTCGCTACCCGCGATAGCAGACTTGCCGGGCGGTTTGTGACTTGATTGGAACCCGGCGACAGTCAAGGCCGTGAAATCAACTACAGGAGCCGATAGCAGCCCAGCTACAAGATACCTGAAGTCGATCCGAGAACCTCGCCACGGACCGAAGGACACAACGACAAATTCGATGTCGCAGTCTGGACTTTCATCAACATGTGGTCCAGGGAGTGGTGACGGTGCTGCTGCCTCTGGTAGCCGCCGAAAGAAGGTCTACGAATATTTCAAAGCGGCCAATGAGCTACGACAGGCCTATACCTCACAGTGGTCGGCGCAGAGAAATGAATACGATGAGGACTACTACAATACCCCTGGTGCATTTCCGGATGTTGAAATGGCACGGTCAGGCAATGAGGAAATGGTGGTCTTCCCCAGTTATGCTAGGAGATTGGCTGAGAAGAGGAACACAGGTACCAGTACACGTCCGCGACGTGACTCGTGGTCAGAAACTATCGATGATTACCGGGGTGCAACCCACGAGGATGGTCATCTCTACACGCCTAGTTGGGATGCAATTGAGACGGAAGATTCAGTCGTGGCCGTTGACGTGCGTGGCTGGATTTACTCTCCTGGTCGGGGACCGATGAGCCGAAAGCACCGGCTGATGATTGCTTTGGCCAGAAAGCTGAGCGGGATCTCTGCACCAACTGGAACTGCAAATGATGAAAGTAACGACAAGATTTCTGGGAAGGGAGATGATGAATACATTGACAAGGAGATCCAAACACTAGTCGCCAAGGCTGAGAAGGAAGCAGACCCGGCTTGGAAAGGCTCAAATGCGGAGCAGAAAAACCAACCAGCTACACCATTGAGCAAGGATGAAATATCTGTAGCAAATGCTCATTTAATGGAAAGACTTAGGCCGTTCTTGACGAACCCTGTTGGGAGCATGCCAGTGACGGTTTTCTTCTTCAACGACGATGAAAGCAAGTCTCGAAATATCCTGACGGACGAATCAGGTCATTTTACTCTTCGCGCTACGCTGCCCTTTGTGCCAACCCATATTCGCGTGCTGGCATCTGAGGACCTGTCTGTCGCAAGACCTATTGAGGTCATTGACCCGGTTGGAATCAGTTTGATCAGTGACATTGATGACACAGTCAAGCACTCAGCCATTGCTAGTGGAGCGAAAGAGATGTTCCGCAACACCTTCATCCGTGAATTGGGTGAACTTACAGTCGAAGGAGTTAGCGACTGGTACCGCAAAATGGCCAATGAAGGTGTGCAAATACACTATGTATCGAATGCTCCCTGGCAGTTGTATCCTCTCCTTGAGCGGTACTTTAAGATAGTGGGATTGCCTCCGGGCTCCTTCCATCTCAAACAGTACTCGGGCATGCTTCAAGGAATCTTTGAGCCCACCGCAGAGAGGAAGCGGGGTTCATTGGAACAAATTCTGCGCGACTTCCCAGAACGCAAATTCATTCTTGTCGGCGACAGTGGTGAGGCTGATTTGGAAGTTTACACTGAGATTGTATTGGCAAATCCTGGCCAGATCCTCGGCGTCTTCATTCGTGATGTTACGACCTCCGAAACTCAGAATTTAGTCGGCAAAGCCGTCGGTCATCTTGACCAGTCCAAGCGGAGTCGCAGTTCGCCACATGTAGTGGACCACTCAGATGCGGCTACCAATAGACCGATGCTACCTCCTCGACGTGGTACTACTGTTGACTCTACAGTGACCATAGGCCATCATGAGCCAGATCCAAAAGATCTTGACCTTGAAGACCTGATTGATCTCACAGATCTCATCATCGGTGATCAGCCGCCTCCGGCGGGGCTTACCCACCCCGCCACTCCACGGCCACGCCCAGCGAAACCAATTAAACCATCTGCACTACGCATGGTCTCTACACCAGCTGATTTGGCGAAGAGTTCTAAACCATCTTCTCTCCGCAACGTTGCTACACTTCCAGATGTGCAAAAAAGAGAGTCCAAACCGGCGCCAGCACAAGAGCCCCCCAAGCGTAAACCAGTCCCACCTGTGCCTCCCAGACGCGGAGTGCCCAAGACAGACATACTGATTGATTTGAATCCATCACATTCGACCTCCCAGAGTAACATTGGAACATCAATGGATGAAATTCCTTCTTCGTGGCTCAAAGGCTACGATGATGGCTCTGCAGGCGCTCAAAGTCAATCCCAAGGTACACGCGCCAAGCCACCACCGCCACGCCCTCCTCCGCGTCGCACCAACACTGGGTCTTCAACAACCTGTTCAGATCCCAGTGTATCAACTACATCAACGACGCCAGTTCTGACTCCGGCTCCTGCGAGTGGCATTCAATCATACTCAGCGGCAGCCGCCCAGGCTGCATACCAAGGGTTCCAGTATGCAAGCGACCGATTCAACTTCTCGGGATCTGCCTCTGGGCTACGAAACTCCCAACCCAACCGATCACTTGGGAGAACAGGGACTAATGAGTCGGGCGTGCCGCCTGCGCCCGTCCCAAACAAGCGCGAGGAGCTTTGGCGACGTCGTTGGGATCGCGCGAGCGAAGTGCTTGAGCAGCATGGCGTAGTGCTAGGCTGTTGGCGGGTCGGAGAAGATGCACAGCCTGTTTGTGCGTGGTTATTGGAGCAGGCGGTGAAAGATATTAAAGCTGCTCGTTTGAAGGGAGGCCATTGATGGCGTGTAAACATAGGATATATTAGCAATCATTCGAGACATATATTTCAGAAACAAAGTTGGTATTGGTGGTCTAACCAACCGTCTTGGTGGCCATTGGTGCATAGAATGAAATCCTTTCGCTTCGATTTCTATCCTCCCAAATAAAAATACACCACATGTCATGTTGTATTGCTCCTTGGTAGCCTCTAGAGCTAGTGCATGTACCAAGCACAAGGCGGGGAAGTCCACGGGCAGGTGGTGGGACGTTCTATGCGCCCATGTGATTGTAATTTATTGGCAAAATCATTGCAAATTGTACGCTTGGTCGATCAGCAATCAGGAGATGATCCCGAGGTCCCCGCTGGTAGACTGTTGGGGTTGCGGTCAAGAAATCCGACGAGGCGGACATCACTATTCTCGGACCTCGGCTCGATTTGAAACAACAGTTTCATGATTGGCGACTTGTATTCTGGGGTATTTGGCCATTGCCCCCCCTACTTTCCCCCTTTCTCCAAACTAAAACATGCCATCTGAAACTCTCATACGCGCGGAAATCGCGAAGCACAACACCGAGGATTCCCTCTGGTGCATCATCGATCACCAAGTCTATGATCTGACCGATTTTGTCGACGCACACCCCGCTGGTGCCGTCGTACTTGCTCAGGTTGCTGGCCAGGACGCAACATCAGAATTTTACAATCTGCATCGCCAGGAGGTGCTGGAGAAATACCGTGACCAGTTTTTCATCGGCGTCGTTGAAGGCGAAAAACCCGAGGTCATAGTGCCCGTTCCTGGAGCCTTGAGCCCCGTGCCCTACGCAGAACCATTATGGCTGCGACCCCAATTCAAATCCCCTTACTACAAGGAGACCCATAGACGCCTGCAAAAGGCCGTCCGGGAATTCACGGATAAATATGTGACACCCGAAGCGTAAGAGAAAGAGCAGGATGGCACCTACATTAGCCAAGAGCTAATTAACCGCATGGCCGAGACGAACATTTTGGCTATGCGACTTGGCCCCGGGAAGCATCTGCATAACCGCACCTTGCTCGGTGGAGTGGTGGATGGAAAGGAGTTTGATTATCTCCACGATATGATCGTAGTACAGGAGTTGGTCCGTGCCAATGCCAGAGGCTTCCAGGATGGCAATATAGCCGGGATGGCTATTAGTTTGACAGCTGTTCAGCAATGGCTGCATGATCCGGTACTCAAGAAGCGCCTCAATGATGAAGTCTTGTCGGGTCAGAAGAAGATGTGTTTAGCTATCACAGAGGCCTTTGCCGGTAGCGATGTGGCGGGCCTGAAAACTACTGCAGAGAAGACTCCTGATGGAAAAAATTATGTTGTAAATGGAACAAAGTAAGTCGGGCTAACTTTTGGGTTTGATCAAGAAAATCACGCTGAAAATTTCCAGGAAATGGATCACAAATGGCATGTTCGCGGACTACTTTGTCACTGGCTGCCGCACCGAAAAGGGTTTCTCGGTGCTTTTGATTTCTCGCGGTGAGGGCGTGGAGACTAAACAAATCAAGACCTCATATTCGACTGCCGCTGCCACTGCTTTCGTGCAGTTTGAGAATGTCAACGTTCCGGTTGGGAATCTCCTAGGCGAGGAGCACAAAGGTTTCGTCGTTATCATGAGCAACTTTAATCATGAGCGGTTTATGTTGGTCGCCGCTGTAGTCCGCATGTCAATGATGGTTGTAGAAGAGACGATGAAATGGTCAAACCAGCGCATCGTTTTTGGCAAGAAGTTGATTGAACAGCCGGTTATTCGTCAAAAGTGAGTCTCATAGATCATTTGCTACCAAAATTTCTTTTTAACGCCCTACAGAATTGCTCGCATGATCTCTCTAGCTGAATCTAACCAGGCATGGCTTGAGTCCATCGCCTATCAGATGTGCAACATGACATACACTCAGCAAGCGAATCATTTGGGTGGACCTATCGGGCTACTTAAGTCACACTGTACCCAAGCTGCAGGCGAGATCACCAGTCTCGCTACTAACATCTTTGATGGTCGTGGTATCACTCAGTCAGGAATGGGCAAGGTCATTGAGATATTCCATCGCACATACAAGTTCGATGCCATGCCATCTTGGGTGGAACTGAGGAGATTTTGGCAGATTTGGGAGTCCGGCAGGCAATGAAGAATTTCCCAAAGTCGATGTTATAGAGAAGATGCTCCTTGAGCAAACTAATCAGTCAAATTATCTTATTCATGAGCATAAGAGTGATTGATTGCATGTTTTGTATTGAAGCTCTCCGCTTGGTCAAAAATAGAAATGACAGGCGGGGCAGATAGCTGGAGCGGGGGATCCTTGTTCCGACGCCACAGCTTTCCCAAGGCAGCTAGCTCCATGTGAGATCGCCTTAGACCATCACCCCTCGCAAGATATTCCAAATTCTTTGCCATCATAGTATTTCATGTCTGAAATATAAACTCGTTGTCAATAATGGCTTCAGTAGATGCTCTTCGCCAGGATAATATCCTCGACCTTGCTGTGAGAGCTATCCAGCCCGCAGGTGACAGACAGCCGAGTCTCAAAACACAATATGAAGCTGTGGCTCTGATCGGCCATGCATGCATGGTAGCAGTTGATTTCAGACTAGTTGGCCTCAGTGAAGACCACAACCTAGGTATCTCAAGCATGGCTCGATCGCATCGGTGAAATCTTGCTAACTTCTCTAGAAACGTCTACAGATACGCTCTCCCTCCCCGCAGAATGGAACAATAACGATACATTGGCCTTACGGTACGCACATGCTCAGTCTTCAAAGCAGTATCTACTCAAAGTGAGTCGACTGGGGAATAACGCGGTGATTTCTGCACTGGCATTGGGCGATGACCGGACCAGCTTGTTCGACATTCCCGTCAAAGACTACATCTCCACTTCTGCACTCCCACTACCTTTTTCAGAAGATATCACCGCCTCTCTGCGTGACATTTTCACATCACCGGCTCGACTGGGCGACTTGGTTGGTTTCTTCAAAAAGAATGTCATCGAGAAAATCGCGCCTGGTTTGTACAGAGAGGGGTATGATAATCAGAGCCAGCCATCCAGAGCAAGGCCACAAGAAGAAAAACAACCGAATAATCCCCAGAATGACTCTCTACCCGAGTCTGCTCGTCCACGCCCATTGGAAGATCCCTTAGCAGCAGCGCCCCGCCGCTCCAACCCACCAGACTTTGCGCCGCCCGGGTTCGAGGATGAGTTTGAGATCAACCGGCCCCCACGAGGATATCCAGGAGGACTCGGAGGCAGAAGCCCGTACAATATTGGAGAACGAGATCTCTATCCAGCAGGACTTGGTCCCAATGATCCTTTGCGCGGATCTATGGGCCCTGGCTTTGGTCCTGGTGGCGGGGGTATGCATCCTACTTTTGATGACCCTATCTTCGGAGGAAGAGGAGCTGGTAATGGTAGATATGACCCCCGTGTACCTCCCGGTGCAAGATATGATCCCGTAGGTCCTGGTGAGCCACCTGTTGGTCGCAATCGAGGACCGTTTGGTAATAATGGACGAGGTGGGGGCGGATTTGGTGGGTTTGGTGGTGGATTTGCCGGGGACATTATTTAACGAGTGATGATGAAGTGAGATTACAACAAAGATGATGAAGATTCATTGTTTCTTAACGACTTAAGTTTATTTCAACCTTGACACGAATCAGAATGAAGCGACAGCCATATCTCGATGGCCCTTTTTGAGGTCTTCTTCTCCTTAAATTCTGGTGCATTGTGTGGAACATCTGTCTCGACACATTGTTCGCCAGAGATTCAACACTAGCCAACAAATATCTAAACCCCGTAGTTGTTCTGTACGGTGTAGTAGTTGATAATTACGTAGACCATCCTGGAGAAAGCGGTGTGTGGCTGAAGTGTGGCGCATCTGTTCACCACTCAACTTGACCTTCCCGAACTCCCATCTCTTCTCCCTTTCTCGCGTTCCCAAGTCCCATCCCCTTATCCCTTGAATCAATCTTGGGAAGTTGTCTTTTAATTGAATTTCTATCTGGAGCGCAATTATTCCACATATCTTCCAAAACCCACGACGCCTGCGCCCATCCAAGAATTTCGTTGTTTTCTCACGAGACCGCCCCTCCCCAGCTGGCCCCTCCTTTTCAGCCAGCTGAGCACACCAACGCAATGGATAACAACATGGAAATTGATACTGCGCGGTCCCCCGAGCCACACCACCTGTCGCCAACAGGCGACTCGGGGTCTGTACCGACTCTGGACGGCTGGATCGAGACTTTGATGACTTGCAAGCAATTAGCGGAGGAAGATGTGCGGCGGCTGTGCGATCGGGTGGGTTTCTTGTTTTGACGGATTGATAATGATGAGCTTGAGTTGATCATTTATGCATCTACCAGGCAAAAGAGGTATTGCAGGAGGAATCCAATGTGCAACCAGTGGTATGTTTCTCGGTCGGGTTGTCGTTCTGCCCGTCCAGCCTACTGACACATCCGAACAGAAATGCCCAGTGACAGTCTGCGGTGATATACACGGACAGTTTCATGATTTAATGGAGCTTTTCCGCATTGGTGGTCCTAACCCGGATACAAACTACCTCTTCATGGGTGAGTGGACGACAGTCAGATGAACACGTTGTGGGGTAACATTCCTAAATTTTTTTTTTGATAAAGGTGACTACGTCGACCGTGGTTACTACTCAGTTGAGACAGTGACCCTCCTGGTTTCGCTGAAGATCCGTTACCCGCAGCGTATTACCATCCTCCGTGGAAATCACGAATCCCGACAGATCACACAGGTCTACGGATTCTATGACGAATGTCTCCGCAAATACGGCAACGCCAATGTGTGGAAATACTTCACCGAACTTTTCGACTACCTTCCCCTCACTGCTCTCATCGAAAACCAGATTTTCTGTCTTCACGGTGGACTGAGTCCGTCTATTGACACTCTCGACAACATTCGGTCGCTTGATCGTATCCAAGAAGTTCCCCACGAAGGTCCCATGTGTGACTTGCTTTGGAGTGATCCCGACGACCGGTGTGGATGGGGAATCTCTCCCCGTGGTGCTGGATACACGTTTGGACAGGACATTTCCGAAGCCTTCAACCACAACAACGGCTTGACTCTGGTGGCACGTGCCCATCAATTGGTGATGGAAGGATATAACTGGTCGCAGGATCGGAACGTGGTCACTATTTTCTCAGGTACATCTTTCGTCGCTGGAATTGTTGGTTGAAAAACGCTAACCAGACTACAGCACCAAATTACTGTTACCGCTGCGGCAACCAAGCCGCCATTATGGAGATTGACGAGCATTTGAAATACACATTGTGAGTACACCTGTAGTTTACCATATCTAGATCCCCCACTGACATCATTCAGCCTACAATTCGACCCTTGCCCCCGAGCGGGAGAACCCATGGTATCGAGGCGCACACCTGACTATTTCCTTTGATAGATTTCATTTTTTGCCCTTCGAAAGGCAATTGGACTGGCGGAGAATGGGGGTTGCATTCAAACAGGGCTCTCGCCTACTTAATTCTGTATGGTTCGATGCCTGGCCACTTGTTGATACCAATCATGAAAATAAAAGATCATTTGCAAGACACACTCTATGAGATTGAAGGAATACCAGGGAGGACAGTCAATTCCGGATTGCGGGTTAACATCTTTTTCTGACTAGTTGAGATCATGGGACTCTCTTGTTGGTATCGTTAGCAGCTGGGAAATGTGTATAGAAGGCTGGAATTCAATACAATCCCGTCTCTAGTCCTTGGGACCAGATGACTGATCGTTGGCTTCATAAGCGTCAGAAGTTCCATCGAGATTAGTTGTCTCGTCACTAGTTATGCGAGCCCTCACATCATTGCTTGGTGCCTCTTTGGGGGCCTGGGTTCTTCCATAAAAGAACAAAGTCCGTCATCTGAGAGCGCCCGAAACTATTGCAAGCATCTGTAACGCAAATCCACGCCATCCAACGGCCGCCTGAATCTTCTTGAACAAGGCGCTGGCGGAACAGGTTAACGGGGGAAAGTTCAAAATGCCGATGGTTTAGGGTTAGAAGCCCCAAGGACCCTGCCCTCTAGGTTCTAAATATATGTGCAGCAACCTTTTGCATGCCTCGAATAAGTCTTCTTTTCTACATGAAATAGAAGACAAATAGACAGCGCTCCTACCGAAGCATTCTGTACCGCCAGATCACTAAAATCGAATACGGATGGTTCATTCCAGCCACAAAGCTGCTCTGCTCCATCTTTTGGGAGAGCTCTGGCAATTGCCGTGACGTCTGGCCCAATGAAGACATTTCAATCTGAGTCTTGCAAGGTCCTGATTTTGTTAAATTTAAATTACCCTGTGATTTGAACACCGCCATGGCAGCATACCAAAGCCAAACACCTATCAAATCTCGCTTGCCGAGATACCTAACCAGCATCCATTTGTACCCAATAGCTCCTCAATTGTCCGACAAGAATTGTAGCATACTTAGAAGATGCCTCTATTCTTTCATATTGTAATGGCCGCATCAATACAACCAGTGCACTTGAATGATGCACACCTTAGAATGCTGTGGGGTGTTCTCGGGTTGGTTTCTTTCTTCCGTCAACTCATGAGACACGTTGCTATCCTCGCCTTCAACATTTCGTTTGTAATGAGCTGGAAGATAAATTTCATTCTGTGCAGCTTCCACGTCCGTCTCGCGGCTCTCATCTCGTCTGTAGTGGCGCACTTTCGAGCTTCCATTCGGAACCCAGAATCGCTGGTCAACGCGGCCGACGAAGAAGATAGCCACGGCCAAAAGATCATTAGCGAAGTTAATGATATTGAAGCAGGCCTTGCTGTGATACCAGGCCGAGTCAATGATAGGGCGAGGTGGCATCCAAGAGATGCCGGCAAGAAATGATGCGCCAAGGCAGAGAGCATTAAGCCGACAAGTCCTACAATGAAGGAAGACCTTGGCGACCCAGCTAACAGAACCAACATGTTGAATTCGCTCGCTGTTTGGAAGCCAAAGAAAAAGCAAAAACAAGAGAAAGCGGTAGGAACAAGATGATGGAGAAGAAGGTTTGGCCGTAGAGCAGGACATCACGGTCGATATAAAGCGTGCTTGGGTTAAGGGCATTCGCAGTCCGAATCACACAAGTGATGACCAAAATGATCGTCACAGTGAAGAGCGCATACAGTGCTTTGAACGCCCACAGTCAGGTGGCAGAAGACATCATGAATGAAAAGGGCGATTAAGACGGCGCATACTGGGACATCGAGGGGGATTGTTGGTCGACCTCCCATTCAGGCTATTCGTGACAATTGCGGTCCTCCCATTTTTCCAAAGGGTTGGTTAGGGTTGAAGCACGAACACGAACTTGAATTCGATATACATCGTTGCCTCAATGTAAAATGCAAGTAACTGCAATCTGTTAAAGATCCTTTGTTGTTTTTTGGACGGGGCCTGTAGAACGAATGAAGGAAAGAAAAATGTGTGTGGTCTAGACAACATCATACGATGTACAATTACCAAGTTTATGATTTAGTTCAGTCGCTATAGCTACATTTTACTTTTGAAAAAGGACGGACCTCGCATTTTGGGCTCCGTATGACGCGACATTTAATTTGCTCGCCTTAGCCGAGTTAAGTTGGAGCTGTGGGTGTCATGGCCCCTCGCTGCCGGGATTGGGTAGATGGACACTGAAACACCGCCGATCTAATGGACTCAGCGCTGAAATTTTGAAGGTGGAAACTCTCGAAGACCAGGCTCATGGAAGTTGCTGATAATAGCATTTATTCTTTTGATTGCTACTTGGGTGAGCCTTGGAACCCGGGGTAGTGCCTGATGAATGGAAATATCACCGAGGACATGTATGTTGTACTTGGTTGGGACTTTTTTTTCCCCCAAGGATTCCGTTGTAGAGCATTAAACATCAACCAAAATCCCCCCTCAATAGATAGGTGTATATTACTGCTCAACATGAAGTAGTCTGGTTCAAGCTAAACAGTCATGGGAGGAGGTGAGAGTCTGGTGGACTTGAAAGAATAAACAATGTTGTGTTTCGTTGCACTGATGTTGTGTTACGCAAGAGCAACCCGCGATAGCCCTAGAACGGAGGGGATCGCCCCTTTGTGCGTCTGTACAATATATACCGCATGGCACTAGATAATTACTAGTCTGTTTAGTTTCCACCATCAGCATGTATGAGGTCCGAGCAACACGCAGATGCAATTTGATGTCGAAGGAGAATAGCCTGATAGTCACATCGAGCATGGAGGAGCCATCTTCCAGAAACGTAGAGGCTTTCGCGGAGGAAGCTCAAGGCTGTATAGCGATGATAATAGGTTGGTAGATTCAATGTATCAACATCATGTTCGTTGTTGGACTCTCTAGGTAAAGCATTTTATGCTAAAAATGTCAATCGAGACAGACTAGAGATCTGTAGAAAAGACCCCGCTCAGGAAGAGGAAGATTTTAGAGTGAGCCTCTTATTCCTAGGAACGTTGTGTTGGCTAGGACTAATTAAGCAAATATAGGGTATGGTGATGCCGTCGGAATCAATATGGAGCCGTGGTATCCCCTCCGAAGACCTGTCATCCGAGGAATTGGAGACGCAATGAAACGGCTCTGGAAATACCAACGGGAAGAGATAGGCTACAGCAATAGGACTACTCTTGACTGCTCTAGCTTTCTCGCGCCAGAGGTCCGACTTGAAATCGCGTCCTAGTTTTACACAACCGATTTCTTCGGTCTTCAGTCTGTCGCCTGAGCGATGGCGCTTTTCCTTTCGTTCCACTCATTCTAAACGACGAGATTTCGAGTAAAGGGAGACCGTGGATTTTGAGCCCATCGATCGGATGTACACCCAAGCCACCAAAACTGGCAATCAACCCTACCGCTGCAAGGCAAGGTTTGATCAACCACATCTCTATCTCTGGTCCTTACGTCGATGTTGGGTGAATAATCGACGAAAACATAATGGACAGGCGCCCAATGGCTCAAGCATGAAATGTGATTTGAGGCTGATAAGCCATGGAGTGGATACGCTAAAAGCAAATTGAGCGCAATTCGCGAGATATGAGTCTCGGATGGAGAAGGCTGTACTCAGATCCCTCGCGAATGGGGCCAGCAGAGGGAATTAGTTCAGGTGTCAAGTTTCATTATGAATGCTCCCGATTTAACTCGTACCACACTTAACTCTGCGACATCTGTAGGTGTGACACCCTTTGCTTCGGCTTCCAACGCCGACCATGATTCGCTACTTGAGGGATTAGATGATCAGACTTGAGATGCGAAAGTGTAGTGGCATATCAGAGGGGCCAATCAAACATTTCTCAGTGGGTGGAGCTGATCGGGTACTCTGCTAAGTTTCAGTCAAGATGGTTCAGGGATACTTTTTGGAATGTTGCAAATGGCTGTAGATGATGTGGATGTTTCGGAGAAGGCGAGTGTGTTAGAAGGGTATGACACTCTACATCTGGCCATCTGGCCATACAAACCCCCCCCCTAACCACTTGTATGCCCCAAACAGGGATTGAAGTAATGATTTTCGTGATTATTCGTGATTCAATTTGCCTGCTGGTGTACGATGAGGTGTTAGTTTGAACTGCACACTCTGGCTTGTCGAAGAGGAGGAATTTTGGGGACTTTTTTTTAATACAAAGGACCTCAATCTAGTCTCCAAACTTTACACGTTTCTCTTCCAAAAAGGCGAACTGGGTTCCAACGGGGCCACACTTCGAAAGTTTGATAACCGCCCAAATAACTACAAGAACAGGAAAAAGTGTCTTGAAAGACTATATTGTTCATAACCTAGCCATGACCAGAATTCAATCATCTTCTGGGGATGCTTCAAATTCCACGGAAACTGTCTTGGTGACTGGAGGCTCCGGTTTCCTTGCATCCCATCTAGTCCGTGAGCTGTTGAAGCAAGGCTATTCTGTCCGAGTCACTGTTCGATCCGAGGCTGTTGCAAAGAAGGTCCTCCAAGCACACGCCCTGGACAGCCAGCGGCTTTCATACATCCTGGTTCCAGATATGGTTCTCCCAGGTGCGTACGATGAAGCTGTTCGAGGTGTCACCGGGGTGTTCCATTTATCTTCCCCTTGTACATTTCTTGCGAAAGACAACGCCAAGGATCTTCTTATCCCAGCCGTATCAGGGACTCGAGGCATTTTCCAGTCCATCAAACAGCATGGTCCGGATGTCAAGCGGGTTGTTTTGACATCGTCAATGGCGGCCATGGTCGATCCTAAGATTGGCATGGACCGTGGCCATTTATACACCGAAGACGACTGGGCTAAAACAACTTGGGATGAAGCAGCCAAGTTGTCCCCAGTTCAAGGATACCTTGCTAGCAAGCAGCTTGCCGAGAGGGCGGCATGGGATTTTATCCAAAATGAGCAGCCTTCGTTCGACCTCGTCACACTTTGTCCCGGAGTTATCGTACGTTTTCCAAAGTCTGATGCAATTTCTACATTCACTAAGTGATTTATAGATGGGACCAATGATTATTCCAACCCACGATCTGTCCACCAACATCTCCCATGCCTCCGTTCACCAGTTAATGAAAGGAAAGCTAGATACCCCAGGAGAAACACCTTTTCCATTCTACATTGATGTCAGAGACGCAGCTCATTTTCATACCCGAGCATACGAAGAAGTCGTTGCCTCTAACCAAAGATATGCGATAACATCCGGCATCTACAGTCAGCAGCAGATTGTTGATATCATGAGAAAACACTTCCCCTCTCTCAAGGAGCGCCTTCCGGCTGGAAGAACTGAAGAGAGTGAAGTGGCCAGGGTGGATATCAGCAAGGCAACTAGAGACCTTGGGTTTGCTCCGAGGGGTCTTGAAGAGACAATTGTGGAGACTGTCGGTTGCTTTTTGGAAATTGAGCAAATTGGACATTCTACCGTTTAGGAAATGTGATCTTGTAGACTTCTTATCTCGGACTTCAGAGCTAAGGTTTAATCTGTGGCAAAGACATTTTCCAGATTCCTCCAGTCTACATGAGTTTTATCATGGATCTCTAAAATCACGGACTTGCACATGAATTTGGGTAATTTGGTCTGGCAGTGAGTTGGTGCTCGTCCAGTTCAATCTCTAGCCACCCCTTCAAACAACACAAAATAGGTTGATGTGCGCTCATGTATAAAAGTGCCTAGGAAAGAGAGTGATTCTTCGCATTCTTCGCCTTGGTCAAAATCTCATCAACCTCCTTGGCGTGCTTCGAGAAATTGTCCACTAAGCTATCCCACATCTTAGGTTCATGCTCATGTTTCTTGGGGCTGTGCCATGCATAATCGGTAATTGTGAATGGACGGCAAGATTCGAACATGAATGCAATCGACGCTTTGGATATCTGCATCGCTGGTGGTGCATTTTCGGTGGCCTCCTTGAACTCTTCGTAGGCAACGCCATGCGGGACCACTAGACACAGTGTCAGTATGGACTCGAACTCGTGTTGAAAAGGCAAAATTCTAGGCTGATCATACTGCTACATTCAAAAGACACACTGCCAGGCTTAAATTCGTCTGAACGGCCGCCGTAACCGCCGTAGATAAGACCCATCAGTTCGGATGCGGCATTGCGGTGGTAATATGGAGGCCGATATGTATCTTAATTACTGTTAGCGGTGTTCGCGAATGAAGGAATTGATCAGACATACGTGAGGCGACGTCCCACCGAGGAGAGAAAGTGAGGAAATCAGCCAGAGGCGCAGTAAGGTCGCGAGACTTGGCTGTCAAGACACAGAAAATAGAAGGGTCGATATGATCTACAGAGATGGAGCCGACATTGACGAACTTGGTCAAGTCATATTTATAAGGGACCTGGATTGCATTAGATGACTGAGATCTAATCGTCACCCGAACAAAACTCACATAGTTTCCGTGCCAGGCAACGACATCAAATGGGCTGTGGTTCTGAGTACTCCTGAAGAACTTGCCTCCCAGCTTGTAAATGATTTCCCAAGGCTCCTGAGTTACCTCATATCGAGAGGTAGGGCTTAAAAAGTCTCTCCCATTTGCAAGACCATTAGCACCAAGGGGTCCCAGCTCCGGGAGCTCAAATTGCGTGCCCCAGACCTCGAGGATGTACCCACGGGAGGGCCCGTCCGGAAGATTGACCCTAAAGCGGATCCCCCTCTGGATAATAACTATCTCACCTGGCTGCACAAAGATAGGACCAAATTCAGTTTGAATGTCAAGTGCTCCCTGCTGTGGAACAATAAGGAATTCACCATCGGAGTTGACAAATGCCTTCTGCTCCATGCTTGTGTTGGCGACATAGACATGTGTGGCCAAACCTTCACGCAGCGTGGGGTCACCCGAGCCGGCAACCGTCTTCAATCCTGAAACAAAGTCGACTGCTTCGGTTTTGGGAATATCAAAGGGGTGCCATGCTAGCTGGGTTGGGGATACATGGATGCGCGGGTTCAACGGTAGGAAATTTGCCTCGGTGTCTCTATTATCTGGAAGCGCTGTCTGCAAGCGGTGTCAGCGCTCAACCCCAGAACGAAGAACAAGAGTACTTACAAAGCCCTGATGGGCGACAGCGGGGCGGACACGGTATAGCCACGCCTTTCTATTGCAGTGTCGTGGAGCGACAAAAGCAGTAGCTGTAATCTGTTCGGCGTAAAGACCAAACCTCACATTGCGAGGGTTGTTTTGGCCGTGGGGGATCGTTCCAGGGATTGCTTCAGATGTAAAGCTGTTTGAGGGTTATTAAACCAGCCTTTTATTCCATCGACCTTGGAACGGTGGATGATGTGATGATACATACGCGTTGCCAAAGCCAGATTGGTACTATGGAAGGGTTAGTTATTTAGAGACATAGCATACATCATGATGCAGCAAGATACCTCATAGGGATCGTTACACCTTGTGTTGAAGGAAGGGATAGTTCCATCCTTTTGGGTCTCGGCCCAGTGGAATATCTTTTGATACTCTTCGGGGTCCGATAAAGAATCCGTAGAAGGCATAGTGATGAAGATTAGTCGAACGCAGAGAATAAACAAAGTAGAAAGAGTCGTGATTGTTTAAGTCATCTTCTGAAGTAGCACCGGGGTGCAACACCCCTATTTATGCACTTCAGCATAACTGATTTGATCAGATATGTGGAGTCACCAAGTTCCCCCCCCCCCCAAAAGGCAAGTTTACAACCCAAAATCCCAGCCAAATTCTCTATACAATTCGTCAACTTGAGAAAATAGCGAGGCACGGATGTGCCTCGGGAGACCCGGCATGGTAACAAAACATCAGCTGAATATACGCTGTTGATGTATGGGACATCCTAGCGGTGAATCACCCCAAAATTCGGCAAAGCCATGGTCAATCGACTTGCCGGGCTTTCCTGGTGGACCAGCTTGGGGCGATGAATTGCGGAGAAATAGCACTGGTGTGAAGAGAAGACAGAAGACCCACATGAGTAAGGGCTGAGTAACGGAGAGTTGATCTTTTGGAAGTTGGACGGGAATAGGATGATCATTCAACTGCCGAGATACTCACTGTGGGGTCTTGGCACCTACGATGCTGTATATTATAGATGATGTTCAAACTTGATGAAGCGGTTGGCAAAAAGAATTATGAAAAAATTTCTAATCTAGTTTGAACTTTCCAATACTACAACACCTAAACTGGGGCGGGGGGGGGGCAATTTTTTATAAAAAAAACATTCAAAAGCCATCCAGAAAGACGTAAGAAGACCACTCTTGTATTCAACAATAGCGACATGAGGATTTTGCGATCAGAGTGTGGGGAATTGAGCATATATGAAGGATGGATTTTTAGACCAGTTTAACATTAATTCAACAGACTAATTCTCCCTGCCGTCAAAGCAAACACAATGGGCATATACGCGACACTTCCCGCTTCCTTAAGTACCTTGCAATGCTCAACCCTCCGACGAGCAGCGAACTGTGACTCATCAATCTCCGTACACTCCCCTAGAGGTCCAAAAGCAAATCTCAGATCGGTAGACCAAGGTCCAACACCATGGACGAACCGAATCCAACGCTGTCGCATCTCCTTTCCAACAGCTCTTGCCGCAGCATTAAACGATAGATCGACGCCGTCAAAGAGAAACAGCAAGTCAACGGCATGATGTGCACGGCTGGAAGCTTGCCAAGGATTAGATTGGTCGAACACATATCGGAAGACACGCTTGTTGGCTGCGCGTAACTTGTCCGTAATGACCTCCACTGGAAGTGTATACCGAACATCATTGACGAGATCCAGAGCTCCCAGCTTTGCAGCAGTTGGGCGATCACTGACAATTTGGTACAGTTTTCGAAGCTGGGTGCCCCATTGGTTGTCGGTCTCGAACGCAGCTGCGATTGTCTTTCCGTCAAGGAGCTCGATGCCATTTCGCCAAATTATGGACTGAGACACGGATTAACGATGTTCGAAGATCCGGCACAGGCAAAAGTATTGACTTACCTCGTACTCAACATCCCCAATCATTACTTCCTCAGCCTGCTCAGGTCTGGTTTCCCAACCTATCAGTTCAGGCTCCTCTTGGATCCACATGGTATTCACATTGCACTCTCTCAGTGCTTGAATCAGTGCGATACCGGAGGATTCACGCAGTGAGGTTTGACCAAGCTCCCGGACCTTTGCTTCCAGTCCTCGAATAAGACCATCTCCCCTTTCGACCGGAAGCGGCGAGGACAGATAAAGACTTCCAGATGCCATGACAGCCCTCTTCACAGGAGGGCCGGTGATGAGATGTGCATGGACATAGATAGCACCTGCGCTTTCGCCCGACAAGGTGATATTTGCCTGCATGCAATGAGCATCGTCACGTATTCGCAGGAAACGGTGACCATCTGACTTACAGGGTCACCCCCGAAACCCGCAATGTTCTGTCGCACCCACTCAATACCCAGACGCTGATCTTTTAGAGCCAGATTCTTTTCTTTGCCATCTCCAAAGCTGAATATATTTAGGCGGTAATTGATCGAGACAAAGATGATAGGTGTTCCTGCCTTGATAGAATCTGCGACAATCTGGATCGGGTCACAAATCTTGGAGGCAGCAGAGCAGAATGTGACGATCTGAGAGCCGCCATGTATCCAGACAAGAACAGGAAGAGGGCTTGTCATGGAAGAGTTGGGAGGACATGTAATCTCTAAATTCAGGCATTCAAATTCATCCTCTCCTTCCGGGGCAATAGGGAAGTCTTCTGGAATGCGGAGGAGATGTCGGACATCCACATCTGGTTGAGGGCATATCGGACTAAATTCGATATCAGTATACGAACTCACTATTTCCTAAACATGGTCGGTGTCTTTCTTATGCAAATACAGCTTACCCATATTTTGAGGAATCAACAACTGCCCCGTTGAAACTGTGCACAGGCTCGGCCTTCTCGAATCGTGCCGGGATACTAGCATATTTTATACCCAGAAATTGATGAACGGGCACATTTTGATCATCACGCTGGATGCCCTTGAATGTGACATTCAAGGCCAAGTGTTGGAGATGAGTCGCCATTGTAGAAGAAAAGTAGATCTAATGAGGCGATAAAAGTAGAATGAGAACCTCGGACAATTTGGGTGACACTCCACAATCACGGCTGATCTCCTCTCAACAATTCCCGAGTATGTCGGCACGTCCATGACGTGGGGCTGCAGGAACAATTGTGGGGTTCGTGCAGGGGAATTCACAGAGGAGCGATTTGTTGAATCAGTTATTTTCTTTTTCAAAAAGCATTTTCTCACAGAGCGAGGAAATTGTTGCTGCTCGAAACGATGCTGAAAGGTGGATCTATATCCCGACAATCAAGACACCTAGGCCGAAGGTGAAATTGTCCATGAGGCTGTCATAGTTGGCATGCAAAGAATGTATGAAATTAAAAAGTGTGGTTTCTTAATTTGTCTTCGTCAAATCATGAGCGAGGGACGCTGTCAGTCAATTGGACTTCGTTCTCTGACACGACCGGCTTTCTCAAGATCCAGCCACCCACGAATAACAGGATGGGGACAGACGATATTCCAGCTATCAACCCTAATGCCCATCCCATTGCCCCCCAACCAGTCTCCTGCCGAATATAACCCGCAAAGAATGGCCCAATTAGACTCCCAGCCGCGAATCCCATATTTGACAGCCCAAAAGCTAGAGCCATGGCACCGCCACGACCAAAGATATCAGGAGTTTGATCCTCCTTCTCCTTCACAGCGAAGAAGACCTCGGTAACGAGAGGGGGCATGGCCACCGCAAAGCACAGCCCAACACAAGCGAGAAGAGCACATAAGAGAATCTTGTGCTTGATCGAGTTATCTGTCACAAAACGCAGAAGCACCATCACAGGAACGGAAGCGAGAAAGCCCCCCGCGGCGAGGTAGCGACAGGAGTTGGGGTACTTGTCAATAATAAATCCTGTCAATGGGTCGAAGACGTGTGGCACCATGAGCGAGATGAAGATTAGTCCCTGGCCACTTTGCTGCCACCCGAATGTCCCTTGCACGAAAAGTGGAAGGACACTGTCAAATGAAGTCAGAACAATTGACAGGATGAAGTATCCCCAGACGGATACAACAAGACGGGGCGAGCTTAACAAAATAGCGACACGACCGAACGCACTCCGTGAGGGGGGAAAAGGCGGTTGTGATTCAGAGGGTTCAGAGCCATTGGTAGGCGGAATGGGAGGCTCTGAGGTTTTCTCTGACCTCTTTGCCGAGGATTGATCTCCACTTACAGGAAGTGGTGTCATATCTGGCGCAAGCCATTTGATAGCATGTCTCCTCTCGATCAACAGCAATCGCAAGATGACATCGAGGGCGATGAATGCGAACGCAAGACCGAAAACGGCATAATATCCACCATTCTCGTAGACAACCCCACCAAGAAGAGGTCCAGCTAGCGTCCCAACACTGATAGCCATGGAGACATAGCCAATAGCTTGACCGAGGTCATCTTTTCCCACGGTGTCTACCATCAGTGCTAAGCCGGCCGTCCATACCACCGCAGCGGCAGCGCCTTGAAATAAGCGACCAATGATCCATAGCGCGATATTAGTGCCGACACATAGCAAGGCAGTCGCAGCAGCCAGCGCAACGAGACCAACCAGCAAAGGCCACCGGCGAGACTCGGCTCGATCAGCGACATACCCGACAATAGGCGCAAAGGCCAACAAAGCAGCCGAATACAGGGCGAGAAGAATCGATGTCCAGCTCTGAACGCTTCCCTCTGAAATGCCCACTCTGTCTCTCAATGCGGTTGGCGTGACCGGTACGATAAGACCGTACATGAAGATGTCCGTTCCGGTAGCAAAGGCGACGACGAACATGATAAACCATTTCGAGGACCTTAAATCGACAAATTTGGGTCTCTCTGCTTCCTTCTCATGTGAGAAGAGCCACGTCCATGATGCCATGGCAAGTCAAGGAGTGGTTGAGAGTAGGAATCACGGTCTGCGTAGGCTGATCAGATTGACCTCACAACCGAAAATGGACTAGCCCTTGTCTGGGAGGTCAACAAAGAAAGAGTACAGGAAGATATGTGCAATGTGCGATCAGCATGATTTTCAATTTGATCAGTTCCATCTTATAAAGACAGGAAACAAAACAAGCCTTTGGGTCTAAAAGGTCGGAGTTCGTCAATTGGTCTCCGATCGGGACCCGCGGGGCCCGAAACTATGAACCTCCCGAGATTTTCACGTGTTGGCAGTTTGGATATAGGATACACTTGGTAGAATTGAAGTGATCGATTCTGATCTTTAATAAGCTTGTCAAAGTGGCACAAATTATGGAATACGCGGAAACAAGCAAGAGTTCCTAATTGGACAACTGGGATTTCCATGTCACGATCTATACAGGTGTAGCTTCTTAACACAATGAAGTCCCCAAAACTCGAAATTGCAAATGAGCTTTATAGACGAGATTTCGGCCCCTGACTCTTCAGCAAGTCCCTCAACTGCCGACGCAGAATTTTCCCACTGGGCGACTTGGGAATTTGCGTCAAAACATGGATGCCACCACGCAGACGCTTATGGTTGGCAACACGCTCATTGAGCCACGCGTGAATCCCATCAAGAACAGCCTTCTGATCCATGTCCTTAGCCTGATGACTCAAAACCACAAAGCCAACCGGTAGCTCAGTGGCCCTGTCGTCCACCCACATTCCAGTCACAGCGGCATCATCCACGTCAGGGTGGTCGACCAGCTTTCCCTCCAACTCACTAGGGATAACCTGCAGTCCCTTGTATTTGATCATCTCCTTGATACGATCCTGAATGGTGATGTATCCATCTGCATCGATAGTCCCAATGTCACCCGTTCGGAACCACCTCGTTCCATCCTCGTCCACATGGAATGCCTCTTTCGTCGCTTCGTCGTTGTTGTAATAGCCCATCACCACGTTTGGACCACGGCACCAGATCTCCGCAGGTGCTGTGGATCCGTCAGACGTGACTGCTGCGTCTTGCCTGGACTCGGGATCTACAAAGCGGAGCTGCATGTTCGGCACAATACAGCCTACGCCCGTGTTCCGCTTATCCATGCGGTCATTGGGGACGGCTGTCGCCATCGGTGAAGTCTCTGTTAGACCCCATGACTGGGTACAGAAGACCTCTGTCTTTGAAATCTCTCTGAACTTGGCTTCAAGAGCGGACGATAATTCAATTGTGAGCGGTGCGGCGGCAGACATGATCTTGCGCACGCTGGTGAGATCATACTTGAAGACCCGTGGGTCCTTGACCAACATCAGGGCAATGGGCGGCACCACTGACAACTCGTCTGGTCGGTACTTCTCGATACAACTGAGGTATAAATCGAGATCGAACTTGGGCAGGATGACCACCGTTGTGCCCCACATTAAACACTGACAAATGAACAGGTTGAGGCCGTAGATATGGCTGAATGGCAGGAATGCTATGGCAGATTGTCTTTTTGGTCGCTGGGACGGAAGACCGGAGTCAAGCATTTGGTGGCGCCATTGCTGGAGGTTTGAGGTGATGTTCTGGTGTGTTGTGATGACACCCTTGGCTGCGCCTGATGTTCCAGAAGAAAAGCAGATGAATGCGGGTTGGCGATCTGCCTCGGTTGGATCGATAGTGAGTAAATCGCCAGGAGAAAATGTGCTGGCAAGATGATTGCAAGGAGGTGGACCATCGATTGGTGTATGACCATCTATTAGGATCACTTTCTCGACAGACGTCCCCGTGGCTGCTTTTTGGGCAGTTTCCAGCAAAGACGAATGAGAGATGATAAATCTGGCACCGCTAGTCTTGAGCTGGGCGTGGAGCTCAAGTGCTGTCAAAGCTGCACTTGTTGGGGCCACGATAGCTCTGGAGCTGACAATTGCATGACATACCACAGGGTATTCGATCGTGTTGGGACTGAACAATGCCACGACATCGTTGGGTTTAACCCCTATGGTTTGTCGGAGCCCGTTGGATAGAGAGCGTGTACGTTTAATCACATCTCCGAAAGTATATTGCTCTCCTGAGATAGCATTGATGTACACAGGACGGTCCAGAGGTGTGTTAAAAGGATTTGAAAACAGATATGAGACCAAATCCACTGATTTGATATCAAGATCTGGATATAGGGAACGGTAAATTGGTGGCATTTGGTTATAGTTCCAAATGCAGTTGATTTTAAAGAGATATCAACAAACAATGGCGTTTTTAAATAGAAGTCCAATGTGCTTCAAACATACAAAATACGGGAGCAAAACTCGCCAAGCGCCCAACACACCTTCGTGTATTGGCCCCACTCAACGATAATTCTCACACAACAACAATTTTTGAGGTAAGAACTGCCATCAACTCCATGTTTATATGTAACCACTATAACTATCTACATCCCAATTCCCACCACTACTATCTCTTGCCGCAATTAAGCTTCAGGCTTAGTATCAGCTAGATCCCTAGCCTTTTAAGCCTACTATGTAGCTTATAAATCCTTGGTATGTTTTATATATACACTTTAACTTTTCAGAATTGGCCTCTCGTCTAACCACCATCTTCCTATTTACGCATATAGGTGATAGTACCAAGGCCCGAAATTTAAGAATAGATATTTCTCAGGGTATTAATAGTAGAAATAAATTATAAGTGTCAGGGTGCGGGCTGGCAGGACGGTATGATAAGAGATGACTGGTAGGAACCGGTCGTAACAGATCAGATTCCCATTGACAGGTACAGGCAGGGGCAGGCTATTATACAAGACGTAGCTCGAAGAGCTACAACAGGATCTAGAACTGAAGTTCAGATAAACAGGTCGGAGATCACGTGCCGTGATCTTCCTCTAACTAAGCATCACGGTTCGCACCGTGACAATTAGGTGGTTATTAAAAAAGTGATTTTCTACCTTTCTATCACCGGCGTAGTCGATAGTCGATATATAGGGACCGCGAATTCTCGCGTAGTTTTCGCGATAATAGGCTTAGATTGCTTAGTAAGATAGGCGAGAGCTTTATTAGTTAACTAGTGGTTAAAGTAGATGTTGGAATTTAAAAAAAAGTTGCATATGGGTGGCGGACCCTCGCTTGCGAGGGTTTTTTTTTTTAAAAAAAAAATGGCAGGGGCCGGTTAGTTCAAAATAGGGTAAAAAACCCGGAAAACCTACGGACCGCTATACTAGCATTTCCCATGTGAATTGTATATCACATGTAGTCAGCTTTGTCCGCACAGATTGGAAAAAGAGCGGGTTTTGTCATTTTAGTCAGAGAACTCAAGAGTATTTTTTCATGCCCCATCTAATGGTAGTTCCATACAGTGTTGAAACCATACATCTCTGTCATTATTTTATCTTTCCCATGGGCCACAAAACCAAAGATTTAAACAACCCATCAAAGAGGCTTAAAGATCCCCTTCCTGAAAGCCATCTCCTCGACATCCTTCAGCCACTCTGTGCAGCGGTAGAGCGGGGTATCATGATACAGTCGGGTTCCCTTGAGCGTCACCTGAGCCCGCGGGGGAAGAACTGCTAGGCAGCATTCCTCCCGGAACCTCTCTAGGTCCTCCTGCTCAATTGTCCCGATCTGCTTCTTCGAGTCTGGTACATGTTCTGGCAGCACTTCTGGGTTGGGTGTTTGCCTGGGAGTGTATTCCATCCCGTTCAAAATTGTTCCAGTAACGTGGTGCAGCCAGCCCCTGTCTTCGCTTGGCTCAGTCTCGATGTAGATGGCAATGTGGTTTCTCTGCGCACCGATCGATTCAGTGGTGAAGACTTTGAGAGCCATTGCTGATGGTATGCAGAGTTGTGTTGTTGGGAATAAGATTTGGGTGCGAATGCTGGGCTTTTAAGATCAAATGAGTTGGGTGTTTCATCATGTCATGCAGCGCGCAACAAAGTAACTAAATATATTTTTGTCTTGCCTGAGACCAAAGGCAACTTGCACTCAAATGATTGTCTCCACAAAGATCTTGTTAGACATGTTTCATAATTCCTAGAAACATTCAAAAAGAATTCTGACCCTTTGTAGTGAAAATAATATGCTCCCCGCTAATCTACTACATGTTGACCCTTCTACTCCATGACAGCGAGAATGGTAACTTCTAAGGAGAGTAAGGGATGAAGCTGATCCTCAGAGTGTGTGTAAATGTGTTCAAGATCTTAAGCCAGTAGCGGCACTGTCAGATAGACATCTAGTTACTAGATTGAGCGCCATAACATGTATTCTATCATTGGGGTTGCCGGGAGAATGGTTGAATTTGCAACGGAGAGGGGAATTCACATGAAGAGGATTACCGGGTTACTTTGTACTCTTTAGATATGACATATTCCCATGCTCCATATTCAGAAGATTGGAGTCGCTCATGTATCAAAAATGTGCGTTGTTGAAATCGAAAAAAGAGCATGCAAAAGTCAGAACACCTTCATGGCTTCCTGCCAGGTATGTGTATGATGCTAAGAAAAGAGTCCATTTCAAGGCTCTTATGTGTCTGAACAACGGGAAAAAAATAATGCCATCGTGTCTGCCTAGCCAAATCTAATTAGGATTGGAAGTTCATACTATAGCCACCCGTCTTTGGGTCCTGGACAAACTTGAAGTTGTCCGTCGACAGACCAAATGGGCTTAATATTCCATTTCCGAGCTGTCCAATATCAGTATTGCTCTATCATCTTGCAATGAATATTACCAGGGAAGAATACTCACATCCTTCAGCTTGCTCATCATGTCGCCCATCTCCTTCTCCCGCGCCTGATTGATGCGCTCAGGTAGCTCCCGCAATGCCCGTTGAACAACTCTCTTGTCATCTGCTGGAAGGTTATCAATCGCAGCAAGGGCCTGGTAGTCTTCTGCAGCACCTTGCAGACTACCCCAGCCACCGATTTGGGTCTTCGCCTTTGCGCGTCTCATGAGGACTTTGGCTCGAAGTCGCATCACCTTGCTCCTCTGCTCATCTTCTTCTTGCAATCGTTGTAATTCCTTCAACTCTGCCTCCTCATCGTCTCCGGATAGTTCAACTACTGCATCTGTGTGTTTCTTGTCGGAGTCTGGGATCTTTTGCCCCTTCGACTCGTCGCGTTTGTCTTGTGGGCTCGGCGGGACAATCTTGCTTAGTCGTTCGATGGAGATGGTTGCGGAGTCTACCGCAGCCTTCCAATCTTCCAATTTTAAATGGCAAGCAGCGATATTACTTTGAATTATGGCGATATCGTAGTCAAGGTAGCTTGGGCAGGAAGCGAGGGCTCGATCGTAGCAGGAGATGGCTTGGTCATAGCTAGTCGCAAGGAACAGCTGATTTGCCTCGGATTTAATTTCGTGGGCTTCCTTCAGGAGTTGCTATTACAAAAAGGATTGAAGTCAATATGCGACTCTGGTTATATGCTTGAACACCGTTGCAACTCACAGCTTCTTCCTCGGCAGGGAAGTGGGCATCGTGGAAGACATCCTCGTCACCACTGTCATCTGCATCATTGGAAGCACCTTTCCCTTCGCGCTCGGGCACATTCGAAGAATTGCTCATTTTGTGAGCAGATCGTCATCGGCCGAGAAACACCAGATGTTGCGAAGGGTTCAATCACGGGACTGATAGGACCGATAACGTATATTCCCCGCGTCTTATCAAACGTGGTCAACCTTGGAACATCACATTCTGACACCGGTAAACAGACTATACTGCCATGGCTTCCACTAGTGCGTGAGTATAATATGGTGGTGGATTGTGCTCGCACTCAAACATCAATTGACCTGGTTTATAGTCCTCCTCGCATCCGAGCATGTCTCTTTGACATGGACGGCTTGTTGATTGACTCGGAGGATTTGTACACCAAAGTCACGAACGAAATCCTCCAGAAGTATGGAAGACCAAATCTCCCCTGGTCAATCAAGGCCCAGCTGCAGGGTCGCCCCCAGCCGGAGGTTCGTCTCAAACTATGTATCGTTATGCATTGGCATACTCATCAGTAAATTTAGGCCGCCAAGATCTTTAACGACTTTGCTCAGCTGCCCATTAGTGAAGAGGAGCTGAAGGAGGAGCAATCAAGTCGTCAGCGACAATACTTCCCACAGACACAGCCACTCCCCGGTGTACCGACTCTTCTATCCAATCTCGTGTCGACACTGTCAACCGACGAGCCTGTATACATTGCGCTAGCTACATCATCCCACAGAAGCAACTACAAATTAAAGACTGATCATCTGAAAGAGCTGTTCTCGGTGTTTCCTGAACCTAACAAGGTTCTTGGTGACGATCCGCGCATCGGCAAGGGCCGAGGCAAGCCTCTTCCTGATATCTACTTGCTTGCTCTGGAGACTATCAATATCGAACTGCGCAGCAAGGGGAAGGCAGATATCAAGCCGGAGGAGTGTCTCGTGTTTGAGGACGCGGTTCCGGGCGTTGAGGCTGGTCGTCGCGCCGGCATGCAGGTTGCCTGGTGCCCTCACCCGGGTCTCCTAGAAGCCTTCAAGGGCCGGGAGGACGAAGTTCTCGCTGGAGCCACGGGTTCGCATAAGGAGGAGGAGAAGACGGATGCTCAAAAAGAGGCAGAGGAGCTCCAGGCCTGGCGTTTGCGGGGTTCTGGAACACCTGGCAAGATCGGCGATGGGTTTGGCCAGCTCTATTCCACCCTGGAAGACTTCCCGTATGCGAGATATGGCATTCGGATTCTCTGACAGCTTGGTCTGGTTTTTCTGAGGCAGTACATAGTATTGGGGTTGGTTTTTTAGATGTCAATACACATTTACATGAGAGCGGATAGAGCATCTAGCTAGAAAATAATTTACATCAACATAGTGACTTAATGGCCTTTTGATTTCTTAAAATGTGCAGCTTCTCTGTTCGCGATTTGAACGAAATACATACGATTGTCAGCACAACAGGTGTCGGCCATTAATTGAACTCTGTGCGGGTACCTACTGCTTTCCAACCCATTTCCGTCCTTGCACGACAAGTCTCAACGGGGACTTTGAATTTGACAAAGCCTTCTCCTGGTATGGTGGAGAGAGTATTGGAGATAACAGCGATAGAACTTGTAGTGATCTTATTAAGTTATCTTCTCGCAATCCAATAATGTGTGCCACTGAGTTCTCTAGTGGATGGTTTTTTTCAATTCGTATTTGATCCCAGTTGCCATACCGAGGAAACGAATAAACCGAAATTGTTCCCTTTTGTGCCTCAACCTGCGGGGTTTAGGTCATGGTTTACCTCGGTTTCTGGAAACAGGTACGGCATTGACCAAACCTTCAAGCTGTTATCGGCCTGCTTAATGTTCTTCACTGGAATATCTTCGTCAGACGAATCGTCTGAAACCAAATGTCGCTGTCCAGAGCAGGTTGCAACGACACTTCCCGTGGGGTGAAACAATGTACTCGTCACGGCATCTGTCATACATAAGCACTGAGCATCTTGAATATTGCCAGAGGACTCACCATCATGAATCTTGAACTCCCAATCAGGACCCTTTCCACCTGCACAGTGCTCTGGACTCCTCCAAACCCTCATGAATCCATCAGTACCACCAGCCCAAATCTCATGAGAGCCATCAGAACCAGATGAAATAACATCAATTTTCATGCGTTGGTTAGTGTGAGCCTTGCGCCCACGCAAGTGCCCAAGCAGTTGCCCCGTGACCCGAACATCATAAACCAAAACGCCATCACTCTTACGCTCGACGACATACAGATACCTGCCACAGGGGCTCCAGACAAGCTGTGTAATTCCGCGACCCCCGATATCTCGGTTGGCATTGGTATTCGCCACGCTAAAAGTCCCAAGGAGCTCCCCCGAGCCATTTGAACTGTACAGTCCAATGTGTCTGGTGAAAGTGCCTGCAGCCAGGATACCGTCTCCACTAGGGTTCAGAGCCAGGGCTGAAACAATACCCTTCATCCCGATGCCGCCACCCACAATCTGCTTTCGTTTGCTAGGGATAGTCGGCATTGAGGTCACAGGGCCTTGTGCTCCTGTTCGGGATACGTCGAAGAGACAGATGAGGCTATCCGAGCCCGTGAGAAAATGGGTCCCACCCATCGTGGATGGGTAGATCATTGAGTGCGGTGTTATGAATGCTTCTGTCATTGGATTTACCAGGGAGTAGCTCGCCACTGTTGTAGGAGCCAGGGCTGATGATAGCCGAATTGGATGATCACGAACAGATGAGAGGAATAGTGTAGTATATGGATCTTCAAGGTTGTAAAAGGGATATATTGCGGTAGCGTAAGTCGGCTCCGCCGAGGGCAAGGTCGAATATGGGGTTAATTGGTGGATGGGTTTGTCCTCCAGTAGATCCGGTGGCCTGACTGCGTGAGTGAAAGAATCAATAGCAGGTATGACAGACCAACTTACAAGATCCATGTCCTGATTGAATGATCCGCTGAGTCTGTCAGTAGAGTCGTACCGTCTGGAGTCCTGTCCACCATAAGGTCAGCTAACATTGATCATGGATCGCTGCACTAGAGTCATACCATTCTGCACTCTTAAAATAGTTGACATCTTGATCAATGAATTCGTCACTTGAGGTTCCCTCTGGCAGACTTTGGACCGTTGACGAAGTAGCCGAAGAGAGTCGTGATGAATCGATGGGTGATGACTCTTTCCCACTTTGTCGTCTTGTTGATGCCACGCATAAAGGTGTCCAATCTTTGGCATTCTCGTCAGCCATAACGATAAATACCGTCAGACAGGCTTGATAACCGCCTTCAATGGAAGTTCCAGATGCAGTCCAATTAACAAATGGCTCATTTGACTTCAAAGTTCTGAACAAGGCGAGAATCGAAAGGAGAATGATTAGATCAAGTCGGACATTAATTGGGTCAAAAAGTCCACAAGCTACACGAAGATGGTATATCAATCAGGTTCACAATACCACAATGAGATACCAATTATACTATGTAGTTTCCAAGTATTGGACAAAGCCATACAAGTGAAGTATAAAAATTGGTGGACGGCCCAAGGGAAGCAACCGGTCGGATAAACAAAGTACCGAAAAGCTTCGCGCATTCCGCAAATCGCATTTGCGTAGCACTGTTCTTATTGAGGGGAGCCCCCATTGACAGGTTCCATTATCATTCAAAGATTTGAAGCCTGTTGCCACATACTTTGTCATGTTTGCTCCCAAGGCAGCGGCACCTGCCACAGGTGGACTTTCTCTCAACACCAACTCCACCAGTTCTTTGTTGTCAGTGTTCCCCATTATCTTTCTTTGTTGTCTCTGATAGACACCAATCAGACCTATCGTCTGGCCCCTTGCTCTGATTCGCATCGTTTTCTTCCCTAATCCCTCATCATTCCCGGCTCGCAGGCTGGTGTAACGTTGGTCTCATTTAGGGGAAAAAAAAGCTAACCGCAAATTCCCATCAACAGCGGCGGTAACACAGCCACATCCTCAGCTAACCCCGGCGCAACTACTACCAGCAGTCTCTTCGGGAATCCCGCGAGCTCGACGGCACCTAAATCAACCGGAGGCTTGTTTGGCACCCCGGCCGCAGGAACCACAACACAAGCACAACCGACCGGATCCAACATGTTTGGAGGTCAACAACAGAGCGGTGCAACCGGCAGCAGTCTTTTCGGGGGCGCAAATACTACCACACCGCCTTCTGGAACAAGCAACTTGTTCGGTGGATCAACTGCTGGCGCTGGCACCAGCACGACACAAGGAGCAACGGGTGGTGGCTTGTTGGGCAGCACTCTTTTCAACAGTTCGTCCACAGCTCAAACTCAAAAGCCAGCATTTACTGGACTTGGAGCTGTTGGTGCCGGCAGTGGGCTTACTGGGGGATTAGCAGGAGGAGCTACCGGGGGCATGTTGTAAGTGACCATGCTTTTGCCCATCCCGTCTCATGGCTTATATTCTAATCACTTACAATGGTAGCGGCCAGAGCACAGCCCAACAACAACAATCTCAAAAGCCTACCCTCTCTCTCTTCGGCCAGCCAGCACCCGCACAAACTACACAACCACTACAACAGAGCACCGCCACCAGTACGGTGATCCAGGGTGTGAAAGTTGACGTCAGCAATCTCCTACCAACTACAAAATTCGAGAGCTGTGCGGATGAGATCCGTAGCCAAATAGAGGCTATTGATAAGCATATCCTGAACCAGATGAAGATGTGCCATGAAGTTGGGGATTTGCTCCCGACTATCGAGAAGCAGGGTGCCACGATTCCAAACGATGTCGAATTTGTTCAAGGAAAGCTCGAAACGATGCAACACGCGCTGGAGAACGATGCCAGTGACATTGATGGGCTGCGCAGCCTTGTTGCACGGGATGCGGCCGAGGCCCAAGTTGCTTTCCGAGCTATTGATACTCTGAAACTTCCTCTGCAATATCAGTCAACTGGTGGTGGGTGGTGGTCTGTTCAGGATCAACAGATCCCGGAGCGATCTATGCGCTCGAGTCGCAAAAACACACTTGCTCTTCCCGACGGCGTTGAGGGTGACGCATCAACTGACGTCAACGGAATCCCCGTGAACCTAGTCGATTACTTCTCTCATCGCTCGAAGGAGATGAAAGGAGTTCTTACAAAATATACCGGCAACCTCAAGGAGATCGAGGACCATCTTCACGGCGTCGAAGCTACGCTCAACAGACAAATTAGTGACTTTGTGAGCTCCAAATCTCGCGAGGGAGCTGCGGGGACACCTCGGTCCACCATCAATGAACTTTCCGGTGTTCTCTCAGATGTCGAGGCTGGCATTATGGGTGTTGCCACTCGTTTGAGCAACGTATCGGAACAAGTACAAGATCTGTCAATTGGGCAGCAGGCCCTTGGTGATGGTCGGTTCCATCTGGGATAGATAGGAAAATTTAGCGAGTTTGGTCTGTAATTTTATGGGAGCTGATCTTCAGCATACGAAACATGACATCTAGCAGTCAATCTGTTAACTCTGACCTCTCACTAGTCTGAGGCCTAGTCGGTCGAACACGTAGCCATGCATCGCAAGGAACAGAAGCTTGACCATCTGAGCTTAAATTCTTTCAAAAGTCAATCCTTATTTGAGTCAAGGCAATGTCCTCAAAAATCGTCTAAAGATCTTCTATAGAATGACTATGTTGTAATTGCATACAACACACGTTTACCGACTAAGCATCGGGCCAAGTGAGGCTGACGAGTTACCCGTCGCAAAAACCCGCCACTCTTGCGTGATCGGCTCCTTAGCGCCATTCCTAATCTCAACCTCCACTTTCCTGATGTATGTTGTACATCAACACTTCCATGCCCATTGGACACGCGTTGAAAGTCCTTGGCTTGGCGATAGCTTGTCTGAAATGGTGGTGAAAGCTAGTTCATATCGAATGAGCCGTTTTCAAAGTTCACTATGTTGTAAAGATGGCAAAATCTCGCCATCAACGTCAACAAAATTGCGTGATCACCATGAATATTCGACAGAAAGAGAGCGGGTCTCTCAATTCAAGATCCACTTGGAACCAATTCGATTCCTTCATGTTCGCCTGAGGTGATTAATCTGAGAAATTGCGCCATTTCCGTTAACTCCGGGGCATGCAAGATCCGTAATCAATCCAGAATGGCGTTATCCGGGGTTGACTTGGTCCACATCAATTGCATGCTGGACTTGTGTCCCTATATAACTCGGTTCTTCTCTCTTTAAACTTCATTTTTTATCCTTTGAATATCTATAATCTCGCTCTCCGTACACTTTTAGGTGTATATATATAATTTCATACATCGTCACTTGTATCAGACATGGCGCCATCATTGGAAGAGCCCGTAGTCACAGTGGCCCCGATTGTGGCCAAGTTCACTGTCCCTGTCCGCGCGGAGGACCTCGCTGGCGACAACAAATTTGGCTATCAACCCGGCCGGACACCAGTCGCTCAACATAACAACTATGCACATGAAGATTTCTTGCCCTCGTTTCCTGACATCCAATGGGCTCCGCTTGAATACACACCCTACCAGGACAAGGGACTACGAGGAGATCATAAATTCCGCAATCTTCTGAGAGATGCCACAGAAGTTTTTGATTATAACCCTAAGATTGGAACTGAGGTCCATGGTGTTGATCTTTCAAAACTCGATGATGCACAGCGGGACGACCTCGCCCGGTTGATTGCGTACCGAGGCGTTGTCTTTTTCCGCTCTCAGAAAAACTTCGATATCGAGGCTCAACGCCAATTGGGCCAATATTGGGGTAAGCTGCACAAGGTAAGAGATCTGACTACAGTCAATTCAAATGAGAATGCATACTAAAAAAAAACCATAGCACGCCACCACATCCGTTCCCCGAAAGCCAGGCCTCGAGGACGTCCATGTCGTGTACACTGGCGACAACTCCAGCGACAACCGTGCCCTCTTCACTCCCAGTTTCTTATGGCACTCAGATGTGACCTATGAGATACAACCACCATCCTACACGTCACTTAAGATCCTTTCTGGTCCACCCCGAGGAGGTGGTGGCGACACCCTTTGGTCCTCGCAATATGCCGCCTACGATGTGCTCTCCTCGCACATGCAAAACTACCTTAAAGGCCTTACAGCCATCCACTCAGCAGATATGCAAGCTAACGACTCCCGGGCACTAGGTCGGCCAGTGCGCCGACGGCCCGTCACTACCGAACACCCACTCATTCGTACGAACCCAGTCACCGGTTGGAATGGACTCTTCTTCAACCCTGGCTTCGTGAAGAAGATTGTCGGTATCCCGGCCGCAGAAAGCGACGCTATCATCCGTTTCCTCACTGATGTCATCTCCACGACCCCGGAACTGCATGCCCGCTTCTCATGGGATGAGGATGATGTCGCACTTTGGGATAATCGGTCCACCAACCACAGTGCTTCTTATGGCTTTTCACCGCATCGTCGCCATGCTGTGCGGGTTGCGGTCCACGCCGAGAGGCCTGTGCTTGAAGAGTCTGGGAAGTCTCAAGAGGATGAAATCAATGCCTTGTATGGACTGCCGGCAGTCAACAAGGATGGTTCTCGCCAATCGAACTATAACGACTAGTTTGGCTGCGAAAGGTTCGTGGTAATTGCATTTTAATCTTTTCTGTCATAGCGATTAGCGAATTGTCACAATCAGCGAAATAATATCATTTTCATTTTCTTCTCATTCCATGTGCATGTTCGGACAAATATACATATATCTTCCTCCAGGTGTGTTTATTCTTATGTCTCGCACTTGCCTGATTGGGACTGTGTTTGTCGTCCCTCGCACCTTCTCAACTCTCCCCCTCCCCCCTCCCGCTAATCTCCATTCTTCTCTCGTCTTCTCCTGTCTGTCGCCTCTCCCTCTGCTTAAAATTCCTCGAAATGGCTTCCAACCAGCCAACTCTTCTTGAGTACGCTAGGTTCTACAACATCGCAGCGGACTCTACTCGATATTGCCCAATTAGTTTTGCAGACGACACATGTGAGCCGACAACTCCCATCCCTCCTGTTGATGGTCTGCGCCCCGAAAATCCAGAAGAACGCCTCAAAGAAATCGACCAACGCTTCTGCACAGAGCTCATGATGGAGAAGCTCCCAACTAAGCCTGAGGATATAGAGCTGCTGAGCGGCTGTCTCCAGCTCGAGTCTGATCAGGGAAACCTCTGGCGTGGCATCCTGCCTGAAGTGACAACAACTGACGTTAAAGGCGAACCGCTCCTCCTCACAACCGAGGATGAGAGAATGGTCACTTCGTCCGAGTTTCAAGCTACCTTCGCTCAGAGTCCAGCTCCATCTTCGGCTACCCCCTCTGTCCGTTTGGTTGTACCTAGTGGCCCCGATGTTCCTGTTGTTCCTATGAATACGCGGGACGTTTTTGATCACTACAATTCGGGGATTTCCCAATCAAACTGTGAGGAAGGTTTTGCTGCGCCTGGAAATGCGGCTGCCAAGTCCTCGAATGCTTTTACGACATCTCATCTTGCAGGAGACGTTTTGCCCCCCATCGTGGGACCATCAGGAACCGTGCAGCAGTTTGTCAGTATTGAGTCTGATCCTGTTCCCTCTATTCAAGATTATGAAAATGAGGGCTATGCTACAAGTGTGCTGAGCTCTGAGGTGAGGACTCGACTGGTAATCATTGATCCAGGGAGTAGCTAATCAAGAATAGGATCCCACCGAAAGTGAATTTAGTGCATTTGTTTTTGATAACAATGTTCCCACGCCTTCATTCGATGTCAGTCCATACGAACACACGCAACCCGTACCCACTCTTGGTTCTCCCAATCTGACAAAAGAAAAAGGAATCTCCGTTGACAGGAATGACTGCCAGAAAGCGCAAGCACCCAGATCTTTGAAGGAAACGAAAACCTCGAAGGCCTTAATAGAGCCTGCGGCTGATACAAGAATATCTCGTGGGAAGAAGAGAATCGTGACTTTTTCTTTCAGTACACTTCATGAAGACGCCTTTTTTGTGTCGAAGAGTTGTTCAAGTTCCTCAGTGATTCAGCCAGCAAACGATCAAAACAGCACCCAGCTAGCACGAGACTCACAGAATGCAAATGATGACCATGTTTCTATCAAAACTCCTTATGAGAAAACCATCAATACCACGACAACACACACTTCCTCATTCATCGACAATAGATATACGTGTCTCGCTCAGGAGGAGCTGTTTTGCGTGAAACTGGGCTACCAGTCACATCCCACAGGATTGAAGAAACACCCTCTCAAGCTTTCACATGCTGTTTCTTCCGTAGATTATACAGAGACCTCGAGATCATCCACAACAGTGCTTGGTGGCCTCGGATCTCTCTCCCTGTTTATGAAAACCAGAGGAAGTGACAGAGGACATGTAACCTCGTCGCAAGATGCATCGTTCCCTTCCCTATCAACATGCACAAGCAGTGGACAAGGCGAATTCTCACATGTCTCTTCACTGGTGGGTGACAGATCTCCAGACCCTGATGAGACCTTGGGTCCCTCTCGCTCGCCAAGCCCTGCCTTCGAACTACAGGAAGTAGTGACCCAATCGGCATTCTACCCGCCACCGATATTCTTCTTGTCTACCACTCTTCTGACAACCCACCCGTCAGTCGTGCAAGATATGGAAGGGTGGCCAGAAAATCCTCCCAAATTGATTTACAGGGACTATGGAGACGTGTTCTCGGATTCCCAATACCATTATGAGGCGGAAATCATTCTGGCACCTGATGCTGGGCTTATTCTGACGACCCCCTATGAGCTGACACAGCGATATCTTCCAGGGCATGGCCCAAGAGATGAGAGGTTCAGTGGAATCCAGGGACTGGAATCCCCGCTTCGAGAAAAGATCATGTGCCTCATGCATCGATACGCGCTTCTGGTTGTTCTCATCTGCAAACCCTACAGAGCAGACGCCAGCAGAGTTCAGAATTCCTCGTTGACAAGGGAAATCACCTCCCTTGCTCAATTTTGTAACACCGAGGGATTGTCCACAACATTACTGATACCGATCCCGAACCACTCGGCATCCATTGTGCTGTGGTGTTTCGGCATGGGTAGGCTTCGATGCGAATTGCATCCCCCTGAAATGATAGCAAACATTACCGAAGAGGAGTCTGAATATGAAGTTGCACTCCGCGACTTGGGAGTGAATCCTTTCGCGGCGCGCCTTATCTTGGACAACATTCGCGTTGGTGGTTTCAACCAAGATCCTGGTTTTGATATGAATCCAACCGCCCTAGCCTCTCATGAGATCGTTGCCAACCCCAGCACGGATTCAAGGGCTTTCGACGTGTTTATGAACATGGACTCATTCGAGCGGAATATGAAATACGGGTCTGTTATTGGCGAGGATGTGATTAGTAGGGTATCCGAAGTGATCGAATTAACATCGTATACGATTCCCGATGGGAATGAGACTGACAGTGAGGATGTTTTTAGCACTCAAATCAGTCTTGATTAGCTTTCTAGGGCATGGGCTGTCATCACTAACAAGACGGGTAGTAGGATGCAGATGGCAGCTGCTGGGTGCCGATGTTCACTCAGTATTGATAGTCAGGTTCAGTCTTCAAAATTGTATCTTTACTGCACACTTGACAACGGACTTTCAAGATACCTAGAAGGAATGCCACTGGCACCTAACGAAGATTTTCTTTTTTTTAAAAAAAAGCCCAAAAGAATAGAGAGGAGATGATTGAGTCTGAAATTACTGACTACCCACCCCATAATAAGCACCGGGAGAAGGTAGCCGCAGTTTAATTTAAAAGTACAGTGGACAAAGACTTGCAAGACCCAAGGCCAATCCAGCGCTTCAAAAACTCATGCATGCAAAGTAGAAAGACAGGCCAAAATGGGAGCCACAATTGACATGATACCTAAACAGTCAAATGTTAAATAGTCATGCAGTGACAGCATCCCTTTCGCTATTATTTTTGAAGGGGGTTTTTTTTCTTTAACCGGTGTTCTTGATATCGTTGAGAAAGGTCGAGCTCGTGACGTCGCGTATGATACACGTCAGGGGTCTTCCAAGATCCCCGTCGCGATTTCACAGCGAAACAGGGAGTTGGTGCCGACATGACAGAGGGAGGTTATAAGGCGGCGAAACAAAGTCATAAGAGAAAATTGCCTTGGAGACTAATTTACTCTTTGATCTTGGCCAGGATACTAGAGGGGTTGTCAGTTTGTTCTTTTGGAAACTCAAGAGGGGAAAAAACATACTCGTGATCCCGGAAAAGGGTGTACTCCTCTTCACCGACCTTGATGGCGTTACCACCGAACTGAACACAGACTTGTAAGCAAATTTTGTTTGGTTTTTTTTCGCATCCACGCGGGAAAATGCCAGGGAATCGTTCAGCCACATACCTGGGGAATGAGAACCTTGTCGCCGGCAGCGACACCCATGGGAATGCGCTTGCCGTCGCGGTCAAGGAGACCGGGGCCAACAGCAAGGACCTGGGCCTCGTTCTGCTCCTTAACGGCAGCCTCGGGGAGGAAGATACCGGAGGCAGTCTTGGCCTCGGGCTTGATGCGCTGGACCAGGACGCGGTCCAGGAGGGGGGCGAGAGACTTGATGTTGCGGAGGACAGACTAGAAAGTGCTTATGTCAGTGAAAAAATTTCTCGATGATGCAACCGAATTGGATTGGGAAATGCGCGCGTTGCGCGGGTTTTCGGGTATCCGGGCTCGGCCCGGGGGAAGAAAAAGTTGGGCGTGGAAGTGCTAGTAGTGTCTCTGGGAGTACAAGGAATAGGGAAATTTGATTTATGAAATCAACTGGGATATAACACATACCATTGTGAAGGAGAGGGGGAATTCCTGAGAAGATCGTGAGTGAAGGATGGGGATGGAGAAGGGAAGAAGATGGAACTGGTCCGGGGGAAGAAGATCTGCCCAGGACTGGAGAAATTTCCAGAATGCCAAGACCGAACCATGAGCTTCTTCCGAGCTGCCCTGTCTCCCCATCTTGAGCTATTGGTCTCTCTGGGGAAGAAATACGTGCGCGGTTCTAAAATCTTTTGCCTGTTGATGTCTAGGATTTGTCCTAATGTTTCAGTGACATGCTCAGCATAGCCGTCCGTTAAGGTACGTTAAATATGATTGTACACTTTCCCGACTTATAGCTTTACTGCTGCAAGAAGGAAGCTTGAACTTGTAAATTGTGCAGTGTCATCGCTATTCCATTTTTTTAATGCATGTTACGCCATGAGATCCCATTATTCTGACGGCGAGTCCGAAGTTACATCATAGTAGTACGAATTCCATATCAAACTACCATCTTCGGCCACGTCCTCGGCCCCCGTAACCTCCACGTTGATCGTATCCGCCGTAGCCCATTTGACCCTGCCCCCCTTGGTTGAAACCTTGGCCCTGGGGCTGGCCCCCGAAGCCAGGTTGACTCTGCTGACCTCCACCGGGCATCATCGACTGAGCGTGCTGCATGAAAGCCATGGGATCCATATTAGATGGATCCAAACCCTGGGACATCATGCTGGCTAGCATGCCCTGCATCATATCAGGGTTCATGTCCGGCATACCAGGCATACCAGCCATGGGTGGCGCAGCACTAGCCGGGGCAGCGGGGCCCGGTGCGGTAGGCATGGGGGGCATTCCCATGCCCATGAAGGCCTGCATGTCGTCCATCTGTCTCTTCTGGCTGCTGACTTCTTGTCTCAGGCCCTGCTGCTTGAGACAGTATCCTGCCCATGTAAACTCATCAAATCCGTAGTTAAAGTAATCGGAGAGATCTGACCCGGGTCGGCGCCAGGGCTTGTCGTCGGAAGGGAAGTCGGCATCCATGTCTGTGGACATGATCGGCTTCCCTGTCATGGGGTGGATGGGGTTTGCATTGACATCAATGGTAGAGCTGTGAATGGCTGGATAGGCCGATCCTGGCTTTTCTGAGGAGGGTCTTGCGGTGGCGGCCGCGGCCGCGGCTGGGTGTCCGGGGATCGGAGTCGCTGTTTCGTATCGAGGAGTCGCGGATGGCGTCGCAGACCTTGCTAATCCCGATGAATCTGCTGAGGACGGCCGTTGTGGTTCTTGTCGTAAGCTTGCATGGCGTGGGTGAGAGCTAGAAAGATCAGCAAGTGTACAGGGAGCGCGACGGTAGCTAACTCACGCTTCGGGAGCTGGTGCGCCTTCGGGTGCCTCTGTGATAATATTGAAGTCATCCTGTGTACTAAATTAGCAAGCAATAATTGCAAGTAGGTGGAAGCGCGGTACGCACGTCATCATCTTCTTCCTCTTCTACCTCATCATCGTCCTCCAAGTAATTGCTCTCCTGCGGTTGGCCTGGAGCTGCATTTTGGGTGTGATTCAGCGATTGCATTGTCGGCACCGCATCAACGGGATCGTAAAAGTCATCTTCTTCGTCATCCATTGTGTCTGAATTTCAATTCGACGGGTAAAAACTGCAGAAAGTTGTATCAAAGAAGGACCAAGATCGAAGGTTGCGCGCCTGGGAACCGAGTTTGTCTTGTTTGCAGTGGTGTGCCTTCACATGCGAGAGAGAGTATACGGCGACCATAGAACGTTCAATATTTGGAGTATCAACTAGAATATAGGTGAGAGGTATGCTATCATCCAATTTTGAAATCGTACAAGCTTCTTACTATGTGATCTTATGACAGATGCTTGTATCACTGAAAATGCAAGGTCACGTGCTGGCCACCAGACGTCACTGACCAATTCGATTCTCTCATCTGAGTTGTCAAATCTAAGCTCAATATCTCTCAATCCAAAAATGGCAGAAGAAGAGGAGAGTAGAATTTCTACTCCACGGTCCTTCGCCGGCCAAAGCGTCTCCGCGGAGGAGATGCTCAAAGAACAAACCGTTGGCCTTGTTCATCTCTCCGACTTTCGCAAGCGGCGCGCGGATGTTCTAGAGGCAAAAGAGCGCGAGGCGCATGACAAGTCCCTAGGGCTACTGGCATCTGGTAATTCAAGAAGTGCAACTCCCTCTGCAGGCGATGTGACTGACGGGTAAGCCAAGAACATCGACTTTTATTCTCGTTCATTTGAGCTGATCGCAGCGCAATAGGTCAACGCCTCCCCGGGGTGATGGTCCTCCGAAAAAGAAGAAAAAGAAGGCTCTTGTGAAAAGCAAGCTGTCCTTCGGCGATGATCAGGACGAAGGAGAGGAATCTGCAGCAACTCCGCGCGACTCAAGCGTATCACGGTCAGAGTCGAAATCACCCGCCGATGATATCACTACACGACGCATGAAAGCAAACCCGAACGCACCCCCTCCACCCAAAGCTCTGACAAAGGCATCCTTGGAAGCTGAAGCGCTGGCTCGCGACACTCTGCGCAAGGAGTTCTTGATCATGCAAGAGGCTGTGAAGAATACCGACATTCTCATTCCGTTTGTCTTTTATGATGGAACGAGCATACCAGCGGGGGCTGTCAAAGTCAAGAAAGGTGACCATGTTTGGTTGTTCTTGGATCGGTGCCGGAAGGTGGGTGCTGAGATGGGCGTACGTGGTGCCAGTGGTGCATCCAAGGCGAAGAAAGATAATCGCCGAGAGTGGGCGCGAGTCAGTGTTGACGACTTGATGCTTGTCAAGGGCGACATTATTGTTCCACATGTAAGTTCATCTAGATTCTCATGGGTCACAGTATCACCTCTAACATTCGTACAGCATTACGAGTTTTACTACTTCATCGCCAATCGAGTGTCCAGTTTTTCTCGCGCTGGCGGTTTGCTGTTTGATTATTCCAGCAAACCCCCTGTTGCCGATTCCACCAATCCCACCCCCAGTGATGATCAACTAGAGGGTGCAGACAAGGATTTCTCAGAGACCAAGGTCGTAGATCGACGGTGGTATGAGAAAAACAAGCATATTTATCCGGCCAGTTTGTGGCATGAGTATGAGCCCGGAAAAGAGTTTGAAGAGAAGATGACTTCAACACGGCGCGATGCTCAGGGAAATACTTTTTTTTTCTAGCTCGTGGAAACTTTTTATGAAAACGATTATAATATAGACAAGTGCTAAATATTCATTGTCCAAGTTGTTGATTCATGACAAGAATTCCTTTCGAGGTTGACTGAATTGATAACATCCCTCAAGACTAACTCGTGACCTTCACTTCTTACCCTCGCTGCATCCCATCGCCAGCGACACCATGGACTTTTCTTTAAGATGCAATTCCCTCAAATGTCGAGCAGAATTGAAAGAGAAAGCAGTGGTGACAACTTGCTCGTAAGTATCTTCCTCGTGGATCAGCTTGGGCGAATGGCTGATGAGTTCAGGCACATCTTCTGTCACGGCTGCGCAGAAAGTCTCGAGCTCTCTCGTCCAACCACCAGCAATAGGCTCTGTCCTGCTTGTCAGACGGTACTTCTTAATCCAGATGACGCTGTTTCGACAATCTTGAATCCGACAGAGGACTACAAAACGAGCGTGCTGAGTGGGCTGGATCCGAATACAATCATGGAATGTGCCGGTCGCGCACTTGCGTTTTGGGCATATCAAAGCACACAAGAGATGTCTGCCTCACCTCCTCGGCATAAAAATGACACCATGAGACTGCCCAAGACTGACTTGAGCAGATGCTACCAGGAGTACCGAGCGAAGACGCTTACTGAGAAGTACGCTAGTCTGAATACCCAAATGGACAAGGTCATTCACAATGCCAACACAGAGATCCTGTCACTCCAGAACAAGCTGTCCGGTTTGTCCAATTTGGTCCTATCTTATTTGTGGATCCGACTAACATTTGTACTGCAGACATGCAATCATCTCAAGAAGATCTCCAAAAGAAAAACCAAGAATTGAATGACCTGTACCGTGACAAGAATAACAAACTTGCTCAAATGACCAATCTCTACAACCTCCTCAAAGCTCGTGCCATGCGGTCCCGGATGCAGACCGCGGCCTCGGACACAGTCTCCCAAGCTCTCTCGACACTCAATGCTCCTCCTCCGGTCTCCATATCTCGGTCCGATGTCCCAGCGCTGCTTCCAGCCCCAATCACACGAAACCCCAAGACTCCCACTTTCCACGTCAATCCAGATGGAGTCGAGCAGCTTCACAGGTACCAACGAAGCGGCAATGGCAGTTCTAAAAGGGCAAGGACGAGGACACCTCGCGAAACCCCAATGCCACTCCCTACTGGTCCAAACTGGGATGGACAAAAAAGTATGCATAGCACCACAGTCTCCACTACATGCCGGCTAATTTGCTCCTCGATAGGCAAAGCTCCTGATCATGCTCTCCAACATCGTACTCGACTTCCACGCATTTCTAGAACTCCGACTGTCTCATCCGAGTTACCTCCTGGTGATGCTCTTACGCAGCGGTTTGGGCGTTGACCGTTTTAACTGTAGACTGGGTATATGTATTAATGTAGATTGGTTATTTCTATCGATCTTTTGACTAGGATATTAACCTTGTATGTTGAAGCTCTTCAGGCTTGATCTGATTGGATTCATGGTCACCAAGTGCAAGCCCTTTTTCTTGTTTATATACTACTAGCATAACAATAGACAAACTCTCATTCCAAACTCGTGTCGTACATACAGATAACCTCTATTGCGATATCCTCATGTCGAGAGAAATGGACGGCAAACGTCTAGGTTTCACTTCCTATGGAAAAGACAAGCAGTCTGATATTTCCAGGGCTACAGGCCACTAGGGACGTGGCAAAAGAAGACCTCCTGTCAAAGGCAAGTACATATGTGCATGCTCAACGTAGGACCAGGACATACCCATCTCAGCAATTCAACTTTCTTTGCTTTTCATTCCTCCTCGTCACCATTCTCATACTACACAAAGTCATGTCTACGAGTCATCGTACATTGTCTTCTTTGGGAGCTCGATTGTGCGTCTAACTTTATTACTCGATCTAGCATATCACAGCATTATATTGCCTTGCGATGCATCGTTTGAGCTGAAACCCTCGCCGGGCAAAGGATGGGGTGTCTTCGCCACCAAACGCATTGACGGGGATCCATAATTTTGAGCGAGGAGTCCCTCTTCGTTATTCGAAAGGCAAAAGCTGAAATTATAGAAATTGACATTGCTACGGCTCATTTGAAACTCCCAACCCGCCAGAGAGCCCAGTTTTCACTTCTTCGAGACAACGGGTCGAAGTTTTTTACGAGTTTGAAGAAAGCTTTGAATCAAATCTCGTTCAATATCTCAGATGGGTCTCCAGCTACTGACGTATTCCTCGTGCACTCTCGGTTCAACCATTTCTGTCTACCAAATTCAAGAGTGCCAGCATATCCTGGGGGTACCATTCAACTTTACGCCATCAAGGACATCGAGGCTGGCGAGGAGATCTGCTTCTCTTACCTTGATTTTAAAGGACAAACTAGAAATGAGCGCCAGGAATTCATGGACTTCGTCTGCGAGTGCAAAGCATGTCTGCCCGGCACTTTCAACAACTTAGCGACCTGCGGCGGCGGTTGATTCGAGGGCTACAGTACCTCACGCGGGGCATTGACATCTGGAATGGACAGGTGCAAGTCTCGGACTCTCCGATCATTGTTGATATCAAATTGAAAACTGCCGCGGAAAGCTTCAAAATACCTCTTTCGTCTAGATTCGTCCGTTGCCTTCTCAGAGCTGTCTTGCTGGAAGAAGAGGGAGTGCTGGACCAGTTCGAGATGGCGAGAATAGGACCAAATCTCACTACAACGGTGGGCCTTTTCAGGTCCGAGTATAACCAGAGAGTTGCTACGCTCGCTCTGGCTCAGAGTACCTGGCTGAAGAGATTGCAGGGGGTGTTGGGACTGTACGGACGAGAGGATCCGGCCGATGAGGAAAACACCTTAATACTACAACTGCTTACCAGAACTCTTTATGGATGATCTTCTTGTTCGTGCTTCAACTGTAATTTTGCAATTTAATGCCATGTTTTCCGCTCTTCAGAGGAATTAAAATGAGCTGAATCTAGAGCTTGTACATGATTACAATGGCAATCGAGATGGCCTCTACAATCGGGCTATTGAGGGACAGGAAAGTCTGATCTCTTTAGTGTCGTACTATGGGCTGTGGTGATATTACCGTGGGTGATATACTGGTGCAAATCAATTTGATACTCTACTTTCAAACCCCCAGAAATCGCTATAGTCTCTTTACCTAACGTTATAGTCACTTCTTCTCGGATACTTAGAAGAGATGCCAGTCCAGCGGGAGAAGATTCATCATATCCATCATCAGCCACACCCTCTTCATTCAAATCTCTCCGTTAAATACAAACTTCAACACAAGACCACCGCCAATGATTATACTCATCAACGCAGGAATACTAATGAGTCCAGCAACGCTGAAAGGAACCAAGATCATCTGTTCTTCTGGCTTTAGCATTGACCTCAAATACCAAGGAGATGTAACACTCAGCCATGTCATGACCCAACAAAAGCCAAGGGCCTTTTCCCACCGCCCCGGCAAGCCTATGTTGCTCTGGGAGCGCTTCATTCGTTTCCAGAAAGCCTGCGCCCCGTCTTCAATCACATAGCCGACAACAAAAGAGAGGAAAAATGACATAGTCCCAAGATCCCATGGTGAAACTTTTCGCAGACGATCGAGTAAGACATGGATCAAACCGGAGAAGAAGAAAACGACAAACACGTTTGTGTATCGTTCCACCCATGACGACCTAGGCAGACCGAGGACATCCCGCGCTACAAAGTTGCTCGTCGATGTGAGGGGCCGTCGTAGCATCTGATGCCAAAATTTTCTATGAAAACCACCGAAATTAGATGGAGTCAAATCGTTGGGCTTAGAAGCAACTCACCCCCAGAAATTCCGCAACGTGTACATATCTGCCATTCTCCCGATAAGCGGTGGGCTGTTCAAGGGGGAATCCCCCAGGCTCACAAAGATGATCGAAACGACGCGGTAGTAGAAGCCGAGCAAGATTCGAGACACGATGAGCCAAGTACTGAGAGTCTGAATAGCCTGTGCTATCCACTCTCTCCCAGGGATATCCCATTGATGGCCAGAAGAAATTGGCCATTCTTCGTCGTGATTGTTCATGGATTGTTGCAAGGCCAATATGCTAATCGTATCTAGAACTAGAAACTGCCACATCGCCATGGAACTTTCTCTAATCAAGAAGCGACTTCGAGGGATCACAGTCAGATCTCTCTTGGTGTAGTACGCTGGGAACGGTGGGACGTTCTTCACTTGTCGGGGTGTGTTGACTGCTCGCGTGCATGTGAGTAGCTGTACAGTCTTAGCCAGACGAGATAAAGAGCTCTTCGTGTTTCCATCTGCATTGACAAAGTCGCGCCCGGCTTGAGGGTTGATCAACAATAAATCCAGAGCTGTCAAAATGAAGGTTGTAGAGCTTCCCAGGAGATTGATTGACGTATATCCCATTCTCTGAACGGGATACATCATTTGGGACACGATCCATATCATACATGGTATAGACAGATAACGTAGGACAGACTGATGAGCTGTTGTGAGTAGGATCACGCAGGGGATGAGACCCTGGAGGATAGAGAAAGCGAGCAATCGCCAGTCTGATTGATACTGATCCATGGCTGTTGAAGATAGGCAAAAGGGAAGATTTTTCTTTCCATTTCAATTTGAGGATTTCACCGGGGATGGGGAGCATGGGTTGTCGTTTTGGTATGATATTATCTAATTGGTGAATCGGAGCGTTTGCGAAGAGTGCAGGTCCACGGTGGGGTCCTAATCCCTTACATGGTCAATCAAATATAGGTCACCCGTAGACGTCGGTATCTTTACTATTGATTCACTGGTCGTGTCAGATTTGCCCAGCTGGCTCAGGAATTGAGGGCTCCTACATTTTCAACACCTCCGGGGTTAATGAAACAGATGTCAAGACCACCCGCAGACCTATCACATTCGGAAGGTTACCTTGGTGGCTGACGGTGCTAACCCGAATCGATCTAGACATATACGCCCATAGCATCCCGGTTTTCTTGACTACCTACATATGGAGTAAGATGGATTAGATCAGAACATCCTCCCTCCCAAAGGGTAGCGAACAGGTCGGATGGACGAAGTGCATTCTTATATGACTTGAAATGTTAGTTGAAATGTCACTTCCTGGGCAAATACGATACTAACCGATCATCAACAGAACCAATCCAGTTCTTTGAAACGAAAAAAAGTCCTAGCTGGCCCTGTTCATAACGCAACAAGTAGGATGGACGGATTGCCCCCGCATTTCTCGATTCCAACCCCGGTCTTCCATTGACGGTCACTAGCTGCTGTGAACAATTGGTGTTTGGAAACTTAGCATTGTCATAGTCTAGCCAAAAATCGAGATGCCTTCAAACAGTGTTGGTCCTTGCAATCTCATCCTTTCTTGGCTTGTTGAGCTTCGTGACAAGTTGAGATTCACTCGCTCGACCTGATTACCAGGGTTGCTGACAATGAGGGGCTTGGGAGAGATATCACTTCAAACGACAACGGAGTCACCTGCAGCGGGGGTGTATCAGTCACTCGATGATGATTGAACTTCCTGCAGTTAGGATGTAGTACGTAGTATGCCTTGTAGCAATCTGCATGAAATCGAGTTAAACATAGAATCAAGTCTGATTGTAAATGAGATCAATTGGATATACAAAACAACCGTAGATCTCATTCCTGGGCAGCCCCTTTCGATCGATCAGATTTACCTTGTCGTCTAATATGTCGCCTATAATCTTTACATAGCTCTGCCAATTTTACTTGAGACCTGGCTACTTCTGCGATGTTACCTCAGGCACACACCAGCTGTCAAGATTAAACGCATTTTCCAAAAAGGAAGAGCCTGTCCATCAAACGGAATCCCCCCACCCAATGCCAGGTATATCGCGGATCCCAACGTGATTAGGTGACGGTTGTACACTGAAACTTGCAGCCATCTCCATTCACTTCAGCTTTACAGCCTTGAAATTAAAATTACACGCGGACTTGAGACATTCCTACGTAGGGTCTTCCACACACAGTCACTGATTTTCCGTACAATTGAGAGCGCCCTACATCAAAGAATACGCATGTCATATCGCAGTAGGCCACACCTTAACCCTAATCCGAGCACTATAGGCACTAATCCACTTTCAATATGAAAGGCCAAGTTAGCCCCCGCTCGTCCGATGCTTATCTTGCCCTAATCTCGGGGCAGCGGAAGTCACGTCCACACCTCGGAATGGTCCCCAGCTCCAGCACGGTCCCTACTATATCCTGGAATCGAATTGCGGGACCTAATGCCCGTGTCAATCCGGGGTGCAGAGGAGCTTGTGTGGAGTCTGGTGCGGGAGCGTTTTTTAGTCTCCTGGTCCCTGAATTTGAGCGTATTCAAAATTACATGTGGTACACAAACGTATGAATTACCAGGGTGTTTTTGAGCACTGTCGTTTTTCTTCTCTCCTTTGGTTTTCATCTGTTCACGTTCACATTGGACAGATCTAGCCGTACGGACCTGGATCTGATCTGTTGGCTTTATATTTACATGGAGAACAATTCTGGGACAATTAATGCCTCGTATCATTGATATTATCCGACGGGACATCACACGATCTAAATCCGCCAGTGAACATAGGAAAATGAAATCTAATCAACGGAGAATCATGTACGTCGACACCAGAAGGACCGGGTCGTTTCGCCCGGGCGGGAATTAACGCCATACCCTCAGCAAAATAGGACAGACGCCGGGGTGACATCTACATCCGCAGACCTCCCCCGGAATCCCGCAAAAAAACAAGTCATGTCATGCCATGCATTATACCACAAACCGATGCAACGGACACACGCTGCAAAGAACAAACATCAAAGAAGGATTAAACTGTTTACGCGCCGAATTCCTTGACGTCGCTCTTCTTGCCCTGGAGGGCAAGGGGGACGATGCCACTGACGTGCATCTCAGGCCCGTAGACGTGCATGTCGAGGCCAAGCTCAATACCGACGGACTTGATGTTCTTGAGGCCCTCCTGGTAGTTGGGACCGGCACGGCGGACCCAGATCTGGACCTTGTGCTCGTTGAGGACAGTGGCGACCTCGCGGATGGCGCGGATGACACCCTTGAAGGTGCTGGCCACGTTGGTGAAGTTGGCAATACCACCACCGATGAAGAGAACCTTGCCCTCGGGGTGGGTAGGGGCACGCAGCATCAGGTCCAACACGGTGCGGGCGTAGTTGAAAGTCTGAGTCTCGGTGGGGGCACCGGAGTACTCGCCGTAGTTGGCGAGCTCACTGACGAAACCAGCAGAGGCAATGGCGTCGGCGTAAACGACGGAAGCACCACCACCGGCGACGAGAGTCCACACACGGCCGCTGGCGTTGAGAACGGTCAACTTGAGCGAGGCTCCGGTCTTGGCATCCATGTCAGAGATGAACTTCTCCTCCTTGGTCAGTTCACGACCGAAGGGGGCGGGGAACTCCATCGGCGGGCCAGCGTCGACGTTGACCTTACCATCAGTCGTGGCAAGGGCAGGAGAACCAAGGGCTGCGGGGCTGCGAGCAACAGCCCACTTGGTACCGCACTCGAACTCAGCGGTCTGGTCGAGCTTGGCAGCCAAATCCAAGAAGTGAACATCGGCGGAAGTGGCGTCAGCGTTGGGGATGACGACCAGAGGGTTGATCTCGAGGTAGGTGAATTGGCAGTCAACGTAGACGGCGTACAGGCGAGAGATGAAGTCAACAAGGACATTGTGAACACCCTTGGGGACCTTGCTCAGCAGGGTCGCGGCGATCTCCTCGTTGGAGGGGTACTGCTTGAGGTTGACGGGGATCAACAGCTTCTCAGCCTTAGCATCGACATCACCGACATCAACACCACCCTCGTGAGTGAAGAGGATCCAATCACCCTAGAATTGGGCCATTAGTCTCGAGTTTTCCTTCAACCACGCTCGAAACTGTGGGGAAAGCTTACCTCACGAACGGAGTTAATATTGATGTAGTATTCGGTCTCCTGGGGGTGAGGCACAAAGGGCTCAACCAGGAATTGACGGAGAACACCAGTGACGGTCTCAACCTGAACATCCTTGGTGGCACGAGCCTCAATCCATTCCCGAGCCTCAGTCCAGGTCTTGTTCAGAGCGAGCAGACCGCTCTTACCCCGACGCTTGATCAATTGATCAGGTTTGGCGACGAACTTAGCGCCGGGGGTCAGAAGCCAAGGGAAGGAGACCTCAGCTTGGTCGAGGACATCCTTGACGGCCTTATCATCGGGGAAGTGAAGGGAGGCGAGGCGGGCTGGAGGGTTGTGTGTTGCGGGAGCAGGGAGAGGAGTAGGCTTGATCACTGGGGCGCGAGTAAGGTGATAGTTGAGGATGGCCTTGCCGTCGGCCTCGAGGATAGATTTGGCGGACATGATGTGATGATTGAATGTAGGAAAAGATGAGAGAGAGAGAGAGAGAGAGAGAAAGGGGAAAAGAGGGGGATGTTTTGAGCTGAATGTAAGAAAGAGAGATTAGGGAAAAGGTGGGAATTGTTCTGGAGTGTACTGTAGTGTACGGCGTACACAAAAAAAAAAGTTGTTCTGGAGATTACAGCGTACAACTCGGCAGGTCCCACCTGTTGAGGAACAGACCAGAACGGAAGATCCAAAAGAAGGTGGGGGGTAAGATGTGCCCTTCGTTGGGAAATTCTCCACCACACTCCGTACTGAATCGGAGTACGGAGTACGGAGAGCGTATTAGGTCATTTGGGTGGCGCCACTTATTCCTATTTTGAGATGTATGGAGAACTTGTTGGTCCTCGATGCCTGGAGAAGTTTTCTGTTGAATTGATAGTCCGGGATCTTGCTTGCAAATTAATTAACAATCCCGATTTGGTTTCCGAGGTATGCCGAGGTCGAGGTTTACCGAAATATTGTGGCTCTTGATATTTCAATTGAATAGATGTTACTTGTTGAATCCTAGAAGGAAAAGACTCTGCTTTAAAGATACAGAGACTTGAAATACATTCAAAGGAAATTTGTACAACGTAGAAAGACGTGCTCTGTACGAAGTACCTCCAATCAACATCCCCATACTTTCCGTATTGGAGATGTACCATACTTACTGTGTGGGTACAGTATTGTCAGTACCCGGTATTTTGGGGACTGCCAAGTGTTGAGCTGCTCTGCGGATCCAGCGGTCTGGGACGAGCTGTACGGTGTATCTGCGAGTACTCCGAGTATCTCACCCCGCGGATTTTTCTCAACAGCTTGCCCCCTTCTCTTACTGCCTCATCTTCTCTCTCTCTCCTTTTTCTCTATTTCTAATTTCGCATCGAGCGGCTTGTTTAACGCATAAAGTGAGTTGTCCGTTTTTTTTTCTCTCTTATTTATCCATTGCTCTTCCGCCTATCCACACCCCTCCAAACGGCCTTCTTGACAATTGCCTGCTTTATTGGACAATTGCTTCGAAAATCCAACCCGCATGCTAATTGTAACCTAGATTCATCATGCCCTCCTCTACTCTCTCCGCTGGCAACGGCGTGCAGTCTGCCAACGACAACATCACCCGCTTCGCCCCTCCTAGCCGTGTCCTCTCGCCCTCCCAACACAGCCTTTTCCACAATAAGACACGATGCTTCGTGTAGTA